TTTCCCAAGGCAGATCGGAAAATTCATATACTCAGCATATACTTACAGACAGTCTATTATTTATAATAAACCTAGTGCGTAATATCTCTGTATCCTTATTGAATATTATATTGTTAAAGTGACATATAGACCCGATGGGCCGGGTGTTTAAATTCCTATTATATGTATATTTGTTGACAGCTGTTGTAATTGTATATAACACATGTCACTATAATAAATCATTTACTTACTTACTTACCTATATAAAACTTGGTTAACAATAAAAAAAATATTTGAATCATCTTATTTAAAAAATGTTTTCAGTCGGCGCGATTTAATTGGGTCGGTCGCGTTAGGGGAAACAAAGGAATTTTTTATTTTGGCCTAGGGCATAACTGGTGTCTGTCCGGTGCAATTATGAACCACATCTCTTTTTGTAAATATAAGGCCGACCTCCAATAGTAATTTTCCCTTAAGTAAGGGAAGGGCCATATTTGAATATATATTTGCAGGCTAATCATTTTAACCAATTATTTTTATGAAGAAAATTATTTATTGTAAATATCAATCTTTACCGAGATCCTGGAATCAACCAGGTACGATCCCTCAACAAAATCATGTAAAAATTATATATTTTTAAATACGAATTTCATGTGAAAAAAAAAATTTATATGATATTCACATAATTGTTTTAGAACTTTCATATGAAGTTTTTCTTTGAACAATATTTATGCGGTGTGCTCTTCATGTAAAATTCATATGAATGTTATGTCAAAATTGCTTGAAGTTTTCGTATAAATTTCAAATATTTTGTTTTCTGTCTCTACCTCATACTAAGGATTCACATGAAATTTCATATAAAATTTATGTGAGCCACTTTTGCCTGTGTATATAAACTCAAGCACGGTAACTCTATCACTTTTAAAAATCAAAATCATATGAGGAGGTACATGTATCAAAAAGTTCGTGGACTAGCGACATAAAAATACATCAATTAAGGTAAGAATATTCTCTCATTTCTGAGTAGATGAAATATTCAATGTATATTTGCTTATATCTCTGAAATATTTAGATTTAAGAGATTTAAAAGATCATTTTTTTTTCTTTTCTCATCACAATTGTACATCTTTAAATAGATATGGTAAACTGAGTCTAAAATCTAGCAGGAAGTATATTTTGGCGGAATATGGTGGCGTATGAAAATATTTTCTTTTCTGATTCTCAAAACTATTGTAAAAATAATGAATTTAGTCATAATTTTTACACAATCAGTGACTTGAAGGATTTTTCAAATGTTAGTTATATTAATGATATTGGGCTAAAGTTTTAAAATATATCAAATAAATATGATTTTTTAAACAAACTACAATTATATTAGCTTTTAGAAGCTGCCCATCTAACTATTTTCTTAGTAAATGGTCAAAACTTTTTTGTATCATTTTGTATCTCTATATGACTTCTTGACCATATGTGAAAATGTGAAAGTTTTAAATATAGGACACATATACATAAAAACTAATGTATCCTAAAAATTTAAGAAAAATAGAGAAAATTCGGATTAGTCAAAATCGATTTTGTAAACCCATTTGTGTCACTTTGGTAATATTATCTTATAGACCCTATATGGGAACATTTTTTATGCAAAAAGAAAAACATTTAATCTTTTGAAATAGAGGACCGTATTGCATGATTGAATGCATTTTTTTCATTCTTAATGTAAAAGGTTATGTCCTTGATGTGGCCTTGACTCTAATATAAAACGGTCAAAACTAAACTGATAGAACCACTTCATGATATTGTCTTCTTGATTCTATGAAAATTTCATTAAATTTTTAAATACAAGAAATACAGTTTTGTGATATCTAATAAGCATCATCTTTTCTATCTATATAATAAACCACAAATCCTAAATTTTATTTTTTAATAAATTAGTAATGCTCTTGTAAGCAATGGTACGTTCAGGCGGCGCAACCTCGAATACGACGTTTTTTCGAACTATGTGTAGCTGAGAAAATCTCTTTGATATGAACATTGGACATCTAAGATTCCCGTTATTTTGGGTGTATGTTGGGACACTACTGTTCCATAAAATATGTAATATTTTTATCTCATTCTGGAAATTCTATGAAAATTTATCGTAAATTTTTCATGTAGTGTCAAAACAAATCAGGCCTTGAAAATGACCTCAAAAGGGAAAATGGTAAGTCATATTTTTACGGAAGCATATTCAAGTTCATTCAAATCATGACCATATCAGGTAGGGTGGGAGCCGCAATGGACGATCAAAGTTTTAAGTAGGGGTAGAAGTATACGAGTATGGGAACAATCTTAAAGAAATACTCTTCTCTAGAAAAGAAAAGCTATGATTTTTCATTTTTATACGAGGGCTGTTCAATATATAATGTCCTCTGTGCTCAAAAATAAGCAAAAGACGCTTTTCAATGATTTAGTCTTTAATTGAGATATTCTCCTCGAGTTAAAACACATGTCCGTAACACTTTTATCCAATCTCTGACTGTTTTAGAACTCATTTTTGAGTATGGCCCTTAATTGTATACTGGATTATGGCACATCCTATGACTTTTTGGACTTTCTGGACTTTTTCTTTTTTCTGAAAGGTGTTTTTTTATGTTATCATGAGCATATGAAAATGAACCAAGTCAAAGAGTGACAGACCTGGCGAATATTATAGTGTGACAAAATATTCCCTTTCAGTTTGTCACCAAAACTCCTTTACTCTTCATGGCGTGTGGGTTTGGACACTTTCATGAGGATATCTAATGTAGTGAATTCTTGATTTTCGTTCCTTCCTCTCAAAATCCTTTCGGTTAATTTGCAAAAAAGATGCTTTCTTGGCTCCTCCAGAAATTAAACTACTAGTCCCTTCTCGAACAAAAAGACCACTAATATTTCAGAAAATGCCAAACAAAACTTTATCCTCTTGCAATTCTTTGCTCTTCTCAAACCTTGGCTGTTTCTGTCAAGAACATCTAATTGTAAAAATGTTTTGAGGATAATAAAGCAATGGATTCAAGTTTAGTTGTTTGAATTTCAGACAATGGTGGATAACTACAATGTCTGATTTTTAAAGATAATTGCTTATATATTCTTACCCGATGTCGTTTTCATTCATTTTTCAAACCATATGATGAACAGTGAGTACTTAACTTTTCTACTGTCAAACGTTTCTTTAAAATAATGTGACCGTTAACGCCCTTGGGCTTATTGTTTTAAGTTCAAGAGACATAATTAAGATAAAAACTATACAATGTTAACTTTGTTAGGGTAACTCTATACATCGATGCAAATTTTTTTTAAGACACTGTTTCACAAGATGACAGTTTAAGTATTTTGTGAAATTATTTGAATGTATAGATCAATTTGTTCATCTGTTACATGTATCATACTGCCAAAGTGGTTAAAGTGTTGGACTTGCCACTATGTCAACAAAAAATCCCAAATTCGAATCCCGCTAACGCTTTTGTTGATTTTTACTTGTTAAATTATTAAACCATACATGTACATGCAAATTTTTTAGCGAGTTCAATTATGCCATTTGAGGCTATTATTTTTCAAGGCCATTTTATTCCGAATCATTTGATAAAACTTACAAATCGCCTAAATTACGTCTTGCTTAAATATAGGTAATTTTTTTTAGTAAATCCCATAAATTGCATCTTGCTAAAATTTTCACTTATTCTTTAAATTGTTCTAATTTTTATTCAAAAATTGCTTATCTGAACTCACAATTTGAAAGTTAATAAATAGACATAGTTACATTTATTTTAAAACCTGTACGTCCAGTTTGTTTTGTTTCTTCTTTAAGCCTCATACATGTAGTAATTTGGGGATAATTTTGTCTTATTAACAGTTAAAAGCTTATTATACTGTCTTTTAAATAAAAAAAATATTACACTGATGCAAAAATTGCCGTTTTCAAATAAAAAAGGCGGTTGTAACTCTTCATACAATGATAAATCATCCTCTATTCTATCACAGACCTAAAGTCAATTTAGGTCTATGATTCTATAAAACAGATATTCTTCTGCATCTATTTTAAACAAGCAGAGATGGAAAAAGCAGGTTCAATTCATATTAATTTATTAGGAAATGAAAAAGCAATGGCAGATCTACGAAATAAAAAAAAAATTAAAATATACATACAATACCATATATTTCACATAGACTTTGAAATTTATACAGAGAAACAAAATACTTTTTCCTATTCACTCCAAAAAAAAATTACGTTTACTTAGCCCAAAATGTCATTTTCATAGTTTTAAAAAATGTTTCTTACAAAATTATGAAAAATACTTAACTTATAACTTAAACTTAATAAATAAATTACAAAAATTTAATACCAGTACACTAAGAAAGTTTACCTTTCAAAAGGTGACAACGGGCAGCTGGTAATACGTAAGAGTTAAATTTCCCGCACTGACAGGGATGGGGTCATGCAGAAAAACCGGTTAAACAAAGGGGTAAAAATTTACTGGCCAATGAAATTTTGTGAATAGAATTCATGAATGGAGACTACTACCAAATATGGCATAAAGTATATTATGGCTCATTAAGTTATTCATAAAAGTGAAAAAATAATTTAAATATGACTCTGCCAGACTATAATGTATCCAAAATTCAAATCTGAGTGGAATATGTATAACTTTTGCTGAGATAATGAACTGAAAGTCAATGATGATGTAATGACAAAATGAGAGAATAATATAATACCATATGCCCTTGCCAAAAGAAGAAATCTATGACTAAATACCAAAATGTCTGTTGAAGTCTGCATACTATTATATATTTTCGCTGAGTTTATTTTCACCCTATCACACTTTATAACAATTTTACCCCGTGTTAAATTCGCCCACAGTTTTTTTTTTTAAAATTATGCTGTATACTTTGAATTCACCCCTTTTTTAAATTCGACCGAACGAGGTTAAGGCGAAAATAAACAGGGGGCAAAAATTTCCCTGTATGCAGTAATTAATATACAAAATTCATATTTCTTTTCATAGGTTCTATCACAGTGTCCTTATCAGGGCCAATCAGCAGTGTTATGTATGGAACATCAACAAGTCTCCCAGCAAATATCACAACAAGTGTAGGTGTGACTGCAGTAGCTTGGCAGAAGGTCGGATCTGGTGGAAGTCTTACAGCCTTAACTGTAAACTCTACAAAGTACACACAGACAGGTGACCCGGGGTCTGGTACAGTCGTACTAACCATCAACAACCTCGATTACACTGATGAAGGCAGTTACCAGGTCCAAGTTAACAACAGTCTAGGGGAGACTAATACCAGTAACCAGGTGTCAGTGGATGTGGCTGGAGGTGACACAATTTTGATTTCAGACCCTGTATAAATGTGCATTAAATTTATCACTGTATGAAAATTAAATTATCATTTCAATAAAATAACTCTAGATTAACACATTCATGAAATGTTATAAAAATAAATGCTCTACAGGTCCCCCCAGCGTCAGTGTATCAGGACCTACCCAGTCTGATGGGAGTGTAACCATCGGATGTAATGCTACTGTAACATCTGATTCTCCAGCCATCACAGCTATAAAGTGGACAAAAGATGGAAGTGATATAGACATAGCTACCCCTAATGGTAAATACGCTGGAGGAACTGTAATAAGTCCATCTCTGATCATCAATACAGTAGACAGCGGTGACGCAGGAGTTTACCGTTGTGTGGCCACTAATCCTGCAGGATCCACTACAAGTGACAACAATGTGACTCTAGGTAAGTTATTATAGAATTAACAGTATGTAGCTTTTAGTTTTGGCTTACATTAACAAATGGATGGATTTTTATTCAATTTACTTTAAGAGCCTAGACTGTAAGCAGGCGATACCTTCTGATTTCCCACTTCCTAAAAGATGTTGAAAAGTTGCAGTTAAAATATAATATCTATTAATTTACCTTAAACAATAATCTTCGTTGTTGAAGTCTACATTTATACTTGAATAAAAAAAATTGACGTACGTGTACATGTATATATGCCATGGATTTTTTTTCTACTTAATTCTACATTTTGCCATATTAGTTTATTGTGTTGCAGTCAATATAACTATAGATTGTTAAAAATTATTTGCTCTGTGGAAATTTTCCATCTTGGAAGTTGAATACATTTGAGAAGTTTTATAATACAATATTTTTCTTTACCATAGTGTAATAGTATTATGAAAATATGTATGCACCAATAACAGAAAACATCAATTTACAAGTTAACTAAAGATGGCCAAGTTGTTTGATTGATTGATTGATTGTATATTGTTCAACGTACCTCTCGAGAATTTTTCACTCATATGGAGACGTCACCGTATACCGGTGACGGGCTTCAAAGAGCCATAGCGCATTTGATAGTCACTTTCGCCTACTCTAGTAGTGATTTTTTAAATACATTGTTTAACCAAAATTTTTGTTATACAATGTTAGTTTATACATGCCTTAAAGCAAATCACACAAAAATAATATTCAAATATTAGTAGTTCCCTCATATGATAGATATAAATATCGTTCACTTTATATGGAGAATATAGTAAATACTGAGGTACCCCCCTAAACAATGAGAAACTGTAGCTAAAGACCACCCTTAACCAGAGAAACAACTTCTGAAAAAAAATTATTTGGATATGACTGCAATTCATTACCTTTAGATAATTTTGGTTAAAGGTGGTCTTCATTTTGAAAATGTTGAAAATATGTATTTAATTTTTCTTCTAGAATTATTTCAAGATTCAACAATCTGTCTTAATTTTATCCATTGAACTAACATGACTTCGTGGCGTAGTGGTATGATTGCATGATTGAAGATGTAATGATCGTGAGTTCGAGTCTCACATGCAGTGCCTGTTTCTTATCTATGATTTTATTTTTTTTTTCTCTGTGCATTTTTCCTATGTTTTCTTTCATTATTTTTTTTATAATCATGTATAAATAATGTAAGGGATATATTATACAACATTACAGCTTGAAAGTATCTCGGGAAAAAACAGTCTTAATCTATTTTAATAACCCCAAGTCATAGTTGCTAACTTGTTTTATTTTTAAAATTTTCTAACAATCTTGTTTAGAATAAGAGTATTTAACAAGTAAAATTATTGTCATGTAACAAACTTGCAACTATGAAAATATAACACTCGTCCACAAATGATTACATACATGTAGTTTGATTTTAAATTGAAGAGATACCTGTATCTATAAATAGAAACAGGTGATTTCCATTGAAATACTTAAGTAGGCCGAGTCGTCGTTAAGGCAGTTATGGCTCTTTAGACCTTTACTCGGCACTCAGGGCCATTGAGCAGTGAGTGTTCTTTATCGTGCCAACGCCTACCGTGACACGGGACCTACGTTTTTAAGGTCATATCCGAAAGACCCGTGACTTTCACTTCTGATGCCGAGCGCTTGGCGAAGGAACAGTCACTACCTATTTTCAGGTAAAACTCAGTAAACTCAGGTACCTACTGCTATCCGCTTTCGTCCGTCGTCGTGCGTCGTGTGTCGTGCGTCGTGTGTTAACATTTGAACATTTTCAGCTTCTTCTCTGAAACCACCGAACCAATTTCAACCAATTTTGGCATACAGTATCTATGGGTGAAGGGGAACAAAAATTGTGAATTTCATAGTCCCTGCCCCCCCCCCCCCCGGGGCCTTGGGGATGGGGCCAAAACCACTAAAATTAGTGCACTATTTAAAAATCTTCTTCTTTACTCCTGGACACCAAGCAGTCAAACTGTTGGTATGATTGTAATCAGCATTTAGTCCTCTACCAAAATTGTGAAATTCATGGCCCCAGGGTCAGGGGTTCTAGTGCTAGGGTGGGGCTTTATTGATTATATAGTGAAAATGCATAAATTCTTTGAAAATCTTCTTCTCTGCTCCTGGGTATCAAATAAACAAACTAAGTACATAGTTATGATGAGCAAGAGTGCCTCTTTCAGATTTGTGAATTTTATGGCCTCAGGGCCATGGATTCTGGTGTAAGGGTGGGGCTCTATTGATTATAAAGAGAAAATGCATAAATTATTTGAAAATCTTCTTCTCTGCTCCTTGGTATCAAACAAACAAATGAAGTAATAGTTATGATGAGCAAGAGTGCCTCTTTCAGATTTGTGTATTTTTTGGCCCCAGGGGCAGGGATTCTGGTGTTAGGGTGCGGCTCTTTGATTATATAGTGAAAATGCATTAATTCTTTGAAAATTTTCTTTTCTGCTGCTGGGTATTGAATAAACTAATTACGTACATTGTTATGATGAGCAAGAGTGTCTCTTTCAAAATTGTGAATTTCCTGGCCCCAGGGTAAGTGGTTCTGGTGTTAGATTGGGGGCTCTATTGATTATAAAGTAAAAATGCATTAACCCTTAAAAATCTTCTTCTCTTTTTCCTGTGTATTAAATAAACTAACTAAGTACATTGTTATGATGAGCAAGAGTGGCTCTTTCAAAATTGTTAATTTTAAGGCCCCAGGATCAGGGGTTCAGTTCTGGTGTTGGGGGGGGGGGGGCTCTATTGATTACATAGTGAAAATGCATTAATTCTTTGAAAATCTTTTTCTCTGTTCTTGGCTGGGTAATAAAAAAAACTAACTTAGTACAATTGGTATGATGAGCAAGAGTGCCTCTTTCAAAATTGTGAATTTCCTGGCCCCAGGGTAAGGGGTTCTGGTGTTAGGGCGGGGCTCTATTGATTATATAGTGAAAATGCTTTAATTCTTTGAAAATCTTCTTTTCTGTCCCTGGGTAGCAAATAAACTAACTAAGTACATAGGTATGATGAGCAAGAATGGCACCTCAACCAAATTTCTGTTTTTTTATGTCCCCTGTATCAGGGGTTCTGCCATTTGCTTAAGGGGAGGGTCTTTTGATTATATAGTGAAAATAAATTAATTCTTTGAAAATCTTTTCCTTTGCTCCAGGGTATTAAATTATGCCAATTATCTAAGTTTATATATATTTATGATGAAAAAAGGCGCATCTATCAAAACGACGAATTTTATGCCCCCCCCCCTGGGTCAGGGGTAGGGGTACTTAGTCTGAAAATAAATTAATGCTTTGAAATCTTCTTTTTGGTATTAATCAACCATTTATGCTGAAATAAAATTTATGATAAAATTTCCAAAATTTTGAAATAAGTGGCCCCAGGTTTAGTGGTTCCTTTGGGGTGAGGTGCATAACTGGTGATAAAGTGGAAGTGCATTTTCTCTTTGTTACTCTGATCTACTTCTGGGTATTAAGTATAACTAGAGTAAGCATGCTAAGTGTATAATTATGATAAGCAATACTGCCTCTTTCAAAATTATGAATTTTATAGCCTCTGGTTTAAAACACGAAATAAATTCAATTGTCAAAAGTTGTTACATGATCCTCATGTAATCTATAAGACCCATGGACCTCTTGTTACGTCTTAGGTTTGACGCGGCGCCGGGAACGAGAACGGTCCAAGTTGTTTGATAATTCTGTTTCATTCTTTGTTGAATGATACCTTGTATATTGATATGAACAGAATAAAATTATAATATTAATTTTCAAGAAGAGAAATCTGACTTTGATAAACATTTATTTCATAGATACTAGTATTGTATGCAAATAATTTAATTAAAAGTGCATTCTCCTTTTCTAGCTCCTCCCTCTGATGTCGTAGTCACAGGTACCACATCTGTTGTTCATAATTCCACAGCGACATTCAATGGTTCCTACACCTCAGTGCTGCCATCTGTGACCATCAAATGGCAGAAACTAGTGACGGATAATAATTATGAGGACATTAACATTAGTTCATTAGATGGTAAATATGCAGGGAGCAACATTACTGGAACCAGCCCTAAACTCGTGATCAATTCGGTAAAATTTACCGACGGGACATTGTATAGGATGGTGGTCAGTAATGGAGTGGGATCTGCCTCCAGTGACCCAGTCGCATTGGCTGTAACTGGAGGTGAGTTACTATAATATTCCGTTTGTACCATCTTAATGAAGTTAATTGATGCATAAAAACTTCTCCAAACAGGCTATTTTAAAAACTTTTCTTTTTATGGGATCCAGTTAGCATTGTTTTCTCTGTAAGGCTGTGTTATAATTGAATTTTAGGAACTTGGGTTTAATCCTGTAAGTGGTACCCAATATGTGGCCCATGGACCTAACGTTTATGATATTGTTGTAGAACTGTATTCTCTAATGTTTTCATTTCAAATTTCATTTTTAAAATAATATATTGTGAGTGGTTAAGAAGTTATATTGACCAGTAATAAACCTTTTCTTGTTCAGTTATCTGCACTGGATGAATCGTACAATCATGGTGATTAAAATATTACTGGGTATCCATATCCACTATAAAACGTGAGATTAATGTCCAATTTACTCATTAGCAATCTTTAAAAATCTTAAATATTAAATATAATTGTAAAGAGGCGAATGCTTCTATTCTTAAAAAAAAATGTTAACTGCTTCAATCAAGGTGACTTGACAGTTACCACAGTCCCGAAAGTCACTGGTAGAGTTGGAGAAAGTGTAACCATTACATGTATAAAATGTATAATTTTTTTCCTTTTTTTTAATTAAGGTGGGTTGACTGTAACCACGGGCCCGAATGTCACAGGTAGATATGGAGGGAGTGTAACCATTGTATGTACTGTAGAGGGTCCAGAGGTAAACAATATACTGTGGAAAAAATACAGAGATAATAATCATCTTCAAGACATCACCACAGGTGGTTCAAAATACACAGGAGGAACAGTGTCAATTCCATCTCTAACAATAAACAACCTGACTGATGATGATATTGGACAGTATCAGTGTACAGCTAGTAATCCTGGTGGAACTTATCTAAGTAATAATAAAGCCACAGTCAACGTACTCGGTAAGTATTCAGGTTATTATTAATATTTCGTAAATGATATATGGTAATCATTGTATTATTAATGTAGAAACAATATATGAATGTATTGTTGTTTAAATAATAACTATGTTAAAACAGACCGGGACATTTATTATTGTGCATTTTAGATTGATTCACTGTCTGTTATTTACGTTTTTTTTTTTGCAATCAATATAAAAGTGAGTTAAGTATTTTTCATATGTCAATTTATAGTTTTTACCGCTCTACTATTTCCTTAAAAATATTTTTTTTCAGATCCACTTCCACCTAGTTCTATTTTATACAGTGAAAGTTCTTTTGCTCACAACAACCTCACCTTGAAGTGGACTCCTCCATCCAATACCTTCTTTACCATATATATGAAGTAATGATTGACAGCACAATACAGTTTACTGCAGATAGTAATCCAAGGATCCATTTTACAATGAAATCATTGACCCCTGGTAAATACTATGTTGTCAGTATCGTGACAATCAGTGGTACATTGAGTGATGAAAAGAGGAGTACAGCCTACAATGAGACGATCAGAATTACCCCAATAAGTAAGAAGTAGATTTTTTACTGCTAACAATTCTGTTGAAAATATAAATTCAAATTTTGCTAGGATTAAGAAAAAAATTATTATTCATTCGATATATCTGTCTCATCTTTAGAACCAGGTCCACCTATTAATCTAAGCTGTCCACAACATCCAAAGGACATCTCTTTAGAAATATCTTGGGAGCCTCCTGTCAACCCAAATGGACAGATTGTGATGTATCAGATTCACGTAAACCCTGGAAGTCCTACAGGTCTTACTATCAACACAACAAACAATGTGACAAACTACAATGTCATGGGGTTAAGTCCAGGTACTTTTATCCTTGCAATTATTGATTAATGTGTGAATAGATTATTCAAAGTACGTGATTATCACACTTCCGCTTGAAAAGTGGAAGGGTATCGGGATGGCTTTGGGGTACCCATCTCTTATCTGCAAGTCCTCGTTTACCTATGAATGAAATTGTATGAGATTTTCACACAGTCTTTGTTAAAAGGACCCATTGTGCACCTTCTATTTTTCTTTTTGATCAGACACATCATTGAGTTTAAATTTATGTTTGGGGTTTTGGCATGTAATAAATATCTGATAATTTTCTTAAGTTTTGTCTTTATGTTACGGAGTGGAAAAATATGTTCAGATGTTTTTCTGGATTTTTTTAATATTATTAGATAACTCAATTCACAAATAATGTTAGTAAAGATTTAATTTTATATACCTGTGTACATCTTTTCGTCAAATGCGATTGATGAAGTGTGAATTAAATCAACAAAATTTCTTTAAAAAGCGATCTTAAAAAATCATTGCGTTTCTATTTAACATCAAATTAGCACAAACTTTGAGCTGGGATCTAAATATGCCACCACAGACCTCATACATGACACACGCCGATATACGTTTTATGTTTTGCCTATTCAGTACATTACTTTGTTTATATTTCACTTCAGATTCACTTCCTAAAATTATTCGATATAAAATATGTCACATAAACTTTTATCAGTTGCATAAATCAAGATAAGGCAAGAAAATGTGTTAAATTATTACATGTATATATATAAAGTATGTATATTTCAGAGGTAATGTATAATTTCACTGTGCGGACAATCAATGATGCAGCAGAAACACAGAAAGTTAGTTATCCCAGTGAGGTTATCATCTGTTCAACAAAACACGGAGGTATTTTAAAACAAAATTGCTATACACAAAATTAAATAGCAAATAAAAATTTAAATTACTTTGTTAAAACTCATTCCGATTCCAGCTATCCATAGATGATATAAAAAATGTTCGGGTTTCTGAAAATATCCATTGTGAAATCATAAATTTCATGGGAGTTTAATTTTTGTGGTTTTGGGGAATGGAGAAACTCACAAATTTATGACCGCCAAGAAATATAAACTTTCATCAAGAATTAAAACAGACTAATCATTTCCAAAGTACAAAATAGAAAACTAATATAAAACAAGGTATTCCAACCTCTGATGTTTGGAGGTCCGTGTTTGCGCTGCTCCTATTTTGTATTGTTTTATTGACTTCGATATTGAATACTGTTCGTTATCTCCATATCCTTACATGAATATCATTTTGTTGTAATTCCAAACATTTCTGATGAGAACTGCATACGAAAAGAAAGCTTTATTGAATAAATAGAAAAAGAAATATATAATTTAAACAATATTTATTCAATAAATACTGAAAATACTGATTGGGCAACAGGCTAAAAGCCTACGTCCTCTCTACGAAATATTTGAAGCACTATTTAAAACAATATTGAAACTAGCTGCAGATCTGTAGCTCTCTGAAAAAAAATTATTGATAGACCGGAGAGCTACAGAGCCACCCATTGAAAAAACTGTATATTGCGCACAAAAAAAAAAATGCGCTCGGTTGTCGATTTATTTCTCCATGTTTTTAAAGTGTGATCTCAAAATATTACTAAGCGTGTGTCCCTAACATATTCTTTGACTCTTTCCACAACAAAACATTCCTCATATTTGTTGTTAATAATCCTCCTGGCCCTGATATTGCAATCATCGGACATTTCGCTTATTTATACTGCCATTTTGGTTTTAAAGATAATTCGGTCCAATATGCTTCGTTCAGATGTCAACTACGAGAGAACTTGATAGAGGAGAGAGTAATTTTTTGAAATCTTCCATTTTTTTGCAATTGAGGTAAGAATTTGGAAAAATTATTCAAGAATCGAGCGCACTTTTTTGTGCGCAATACATATACAGTTTTTTCAATGGGTGGCACTGTAGCTCTCCGGTCTACCAATATATATATTTTCGGAGAGCTACAGATCTGCAGTTATATTGAAACAAAACTGTTTTGCTTGAAATATTGGCATTCTTATTTATTTTCAATTTCAGTATCTACTCATCCAACTAAGTTGATTATAAGTGAAATTGGTAGCAGAGGTTTTAAGATTAGTTTTGAAAAACCTGTTAATGTGAGCGGTCAGCTAGCTGGATACAGAATCATTATCTTGGAAGGACAGACATGTGTACAAGAGATCCTTCTTGTAGGAAACTGTCCGCAATGTAAGGTAAGAAACAAATATATTATTATAAGTGAAATACTACTTGTTTTGATTGAAATAATAGATTCATACTGAATACTTAATAACAGTATATGTCAAAATACAAAATTCTTACTTTAAATACCTACTTAGCAGTTTATATACATTCATATAAATTGACACATTTATCTACAAATAAACCTCACAGCAAAAAAATTGTTTCCATGGAAACAACTAAGAAAATGTGTGGAATTAAGTACATTGGTGCATTTACAGGGCTTTAAAAGAAATTTAACAAAATATATGGCTCTCACTCACTAGAAATGGGAAGTTAACCATGTATGTACATTACGTAAAAGGAACCCTATTGTATGACCCCCTCCCCTGTCCCCCTAAATCAAATATAGGTTTCCAAGTTAAAGACTTTTAGGTTTGGGAGTTATACCCGGTATAACAGACAAATATTGAATGCTGTGTTATCTTACCATAATTTTAGTTCACCTAACCATTCAAGATGATCTTATGCTCTACACTTATACCCTGGTGGTAGTATGAATGTCAGCATTGTCAACCCTGATAAAGTGTAAACAAAACTGGATCAAACTTAAAGCAAACTTGCATGGATGCTTGATTTGACCAACATTTTTCAGATGAGTAAAAAGTAATTTTGAGGAACATGTCCATTTCAAAGTAATTATGAACCCAATTGTAAAAATCCTGCATGGACGGTGCACCTAATGACGCATTATACTACGATACTGAGTTTATTTTTAGTTTTATGGATGTGTGGCAGGTGTGAATTTTTTTGCAGATCCATACATATCCAAGTTACTTTATATAATCCAAACCCTTTGTGACCGAACCTGCATGATTCGGATGATGCATCTAGTGATACGCTCTCCCAGACCTGGCCTGGTTCTGCATCTTACAAAAATTGATTTATGGTTCCTCTTTTCTAAGAAATCCATTTCCAGGGACTATATTAGGACTATTGAGTAAAAAAGTAACATGCTTTTAATGCTATAGTTATCATAATTTGCTTTGGGACTTCATTGCCTTATTTGTAGATGATGTTAACTGAGGTGAGCTATGCTATTCATTGCAGAATTTTATTATGTTTAAAGGATATAATTGACTGTGAAAACCCAAAGTTCATCCAATCTGACGATATAAACCAGCCTGTGGTACACCAAGTAACAGATCTTAAACCTTACACCCACTACATTGTTAAAGTGGCAGCAGTGAATGGAAACGGTGAAGGACGCTTTGATAACGCAACAGCAAAGACTGATGAAGAAAGTAAGTAATCTAATGAATTATTTAACTCTTCCATAAATTGCATGCATCTTTTAGAACAAAAAAAAAAAAACAAGATCTGTAGACTTTTCTTTGATGAAGACTTAAAATAAATTTATAGCATTAACATTTGAGATTTTTTTACTCTTAAAACAACATTTAGCATTTAGTTTTTTTAAAATGAAGCTTTTTTTACCCACAATGATTTATAAAGTTTTCTTGTCCCAAAATGATTTTTTAAAGTCTTCTTGTTATTTTATCATTTTTATATTTAATTTCATCCTGATATTATTCAGCTCCACAAAAACCTGGAAGTTTAATAGCAACTAATATAGAATCCAAGACTCTTAGATTGTCTTGGGATGTAGCAGGTCCTTCACCTGGCAACACAACATACACTATAGAAGTGCATGAAGGGACTGATGAGACTGGAACAAACTTTATCCTGAAACAACCAAAACGAAACACATATGGTGAGTATACTTTTCACTAAAAAATGCCAACAAACAATATGTTCAATACATTGCACTTGTAATTTATCAATTTTTTCCAGCTTAATTCATTAATTTCTAAAAATGTAAGAAGACACGAGACTTGTAGAAGATATTTGATGTGACTTTCAAAGCCCTAGCATTAACCATTTTTGGAATTTTAACCAGTGTTACTTTTTCAAAGAAAACCACTGCAATGTCAAATTATGGTGTAAAAATAATTATTGATACTCAAAGAAAGGTCTTGTCACATGGAAAACAAATGTGAAGATGCACTATGTTATGCACAATCATGCACGTACATACGTATCACTAACTTGAATAACAGTCAATGGACCAGAGTATACATTGGTTACTAAACAGTGTAAAAGGTCCATAAACAATTTATCAAAATGCACCTCAGAAAACTGAAGAATATGTCCCCCTGTTAGAATAAAGAGACTGGTAAGCTTCATCAAATCATCCTAGAAACATAACTACAGTTGTATGTGGATTTGCACTCTATAATTAAATTGAAGGGGTGGATGTATTTTTTCTAAGTTAAAAGACAACATTTCAGTCATCAATTCTCCAGTGTTTTAAGATCAAGATTTCCCTCACTGTTGAAATATGCATTAATTTTCATGTGTTTCTTTTGCTTATATCAGTAATACAATAAAACAAAATGTTATTTAGGTTTTCGCATGAAGTCATTGTCCATAACTGATCTGGAGGAATACTGGCCGTACAAGTTCAAAGTTATCGCTGCTACAGTTAAAGGGATTAATGCATCAGATTTATCAGATATTGTCAGAACAAAACAAGCAGGTTTGTCTTTTAATCATGTAAAACTGCTAATATATAGATTATACATTTTGAAAATGAATTTTCAGTTTAAATGAACAAATTTTAGGTGAATGCAATATGTTAATTAAATAATTTATCTGATTGGACAGAATGTAATTTTAGATCTATCCTCTTTGGGTCTCCTGAGTCTTATCAGTTATCATACATATTTGTCGCAACTTCTTTGAGGCTACATAAGGTCCCACCATGAAATAAAAAAATCATTGCGATAAATAGAAAGCGAAAATTCTTTTTAGTAGTTCTCTTTGTTTATAATACTAACACCACTGCAAATAAGAATGAATGATAAATACTTCTACTGTTATTCTTTTTGAAAAAAAAATTATGTAGCGCCAGGACAAGTAGAAAACTTTAATATCAAAAGAAGAGATGGATATTACAGAATGGCATATGTTTTATGGAGCATCCCGTCACCAAGAAATCGGAATGGTGTCCTAGAAAACTATCATTTTAAAATCCTTCATAATGGGGTAATTATTTTTGACATACCCGGTATTTTAAAAATAAAAGTTTATATTCACATTATTCTAAAGCTTAAGTTAAATAAAAGTCAGAAAATTCTGAACTTTTAATCTATCATTTTTAAGCAGAATATTGCTTACATGATACTTAATTTGCCTTGATAATTCCTTCTACAACTTTCTACACATATTTTGTCAGAACAATTAAACAAATATTAGAAATCGGTTTATTACTAGGACTTGATTTTTTTTTTATAAAATAGAGAAAAATAAAAGACGTTAAACTAATTCTCTTCACACAATATTGCATTAGGGTATTTTAATTTCACCGTTATTGTTAAATATATGTTGTGTAATAGGAAAGGAGAAACATGGGAATTAAACTTGGGACATCCATCACTAATCAAGTGCTTTACCTATGGAGTTAGTTGTCCATGACCCAAACTATTGCATATGCATACAATGAATTGATTTAAATGCATTCTTCATATTTGGCATTCTTTTTTTACAGACAGAGATATTAAGAGCAACCATTCCAGTCTCCCTCTCAATACAACATGTTGAACAAAATTTTACAGTTGTACCAGAGGAAACATATACTGTAACGGTAAGTCTTAATCAAATATATTTTTTTTTATTTTTCTTGGAAATCAATTAGACTTCATTTTATATAATACTGCCAATGCACATTTAGTAATTTCATGATTTGTAGCATTTTTACACACTGATATGAATACATGTCTGTCTTTTATTCTCCTCCGAGAAAAATTTACGAGTTACCCGACCAACTTTAACTCGCATATATTAATCGCCATGAACCAATAATTTTGCTTAGTATTTGTAGATTACTGGGCATGTTTCATCGGTCGCAAAAATTAATTGTTGTGGATTGATTTCAAACGAACGAATCGCGAATAAAAGATGATGTGAATAATAGTTAGATTACAGTACTAGTTTTCTTGTTCATCTTCAATCCTTCTGTCCGTCCTTCCATCAAACCCGTGGGGATCCGGGTTAGAATAGGTCCTTAGTACCCCCTTGCTTGTCATAAAAGGCGACTAAATGGGGCGGTCCTTCGGATGAGACCGTATAAACCGAGGCCCCGTGGCACAGCAGGTGTGGCACGATAAAGACCCCTCCCTGCTCAAAGGCCGTAAGTGCCGAGCATAGACCTAAATTGGCAGCCCTTCACCGGCAATGGTGACGTCTCCATATCAGTGAAATATTCTGGAGAGGGACGTTAAACAGTATACAGTCAATCAATCAATCCATCAAACTTTGCCCTTAGTCCAGTTCAGGATAACTCTATTGTTAAGATATTTTAATCAATCTTCATATATTGACACGTTTTGACGTGGCTAAATTTACATTTTTGACATTTATGCCCTTTACCTTTCCTTTGACATAGCTCAGTTTCAGAATAAAAAAAAATTCAAAATAGTTTTATTACACTCTATATTCTAATGCATTTTAGATGCATATTTGCATATTGGCAAAAGTATTCAACTTTATCAATATTTTTATATCTTGACCCCTATTTTACTTTGTCTCCACTTTTTTATGTTTATCTCACTTAAAAACCTTAGAATCTTTTATTAAGTTTAACATTCGCTGATAAATAATATAAAGTTTTATCAAGTAATATAATAACAGCTAATTTGATGACATTATACTGTTCCTTTACATGATGTTTCAAAGACAATGGATGACTGTTTTCCTTGTTTTAAAGGTATATGTCACAAATAATGAGAGTATGTCAGGTCAGGTTGTCCAACAAACCTATACGGTACCTGCTGGTCGTGAGTATTATTGTTTTCTTTTTATAAGGTTATTTTAATCTATTAAATTAGATAATTTCATCGTAAACATGTTTTTAACTCATATGAGTTCAATGCTCAATTGTGCTTTTTTCATCACATTCTTTGTCAAGCGTTTGTTTGTCCAATTGTACACCTTTTACATTCTCACCTCAAATTTGACAGCAATTTGTAAGCTGTGTTTAGGTGTATCAATGAAGACGCATATCCCTCGAAGGAAAAGGGTGAGGCCAAAGTGGCTAGTCTAAGTTGTACATAGATATAAATAAGAAAAAAAAAATTCAAAGTCTTGATTAATTATATTTGTATCAAAATATTTTCATGTATCATACAGTCTAGTTTATTCAAATCTTGACCCAGGGAAAAAATGGAGCAACAAATGGCAATGGGAATTATACATAGGAATATGGAATGGTTGGTCTGACAAGTACTTATTCTAAGCTTATGAGTTGTTTTCAATTTATTTTGCAAGACCAGGAACTGTTAGATGATATTTATATCCATTTAAAAATGCCTCAGTAGTGAAATATTTTCTATCAAATTTTACAAAATATCACATTTAACTGATCACAACCAAAACAAAATAATGCATTTGTCAGTGGATATGATTAGTTTTCTAACAATCAAGTCCAGCTGGACCATACAACACAATGTTACGAACTCAACGTTTATTTCTGATCCAATGTACAATGTTTCAATTATGCGCCAAAAATTTACCTCTCTTTTGTTTTTAAAGTAACCCTTTTGAATAATTTTGATAAATGGATTCTGTAATTGCAGACTGATTATCAATATATCATATAAATTACTAACATAAGAGACCAATGGGTCAAAGACATATAGACATGTTGGTTTGTTGCGACAGAGTTCTTTGAAAGGAGTAAAAGACTTCACGTTTTCCACACACGTTGTGATTTATGGAAACTGGGTTGTTGATGGGTGAAAATTTCTAATTGCAGAAGGAATGGTTAAATCTTTTAATCTCAAGTCAAGTTTATTATTTCATTACAGAGAAAATTGACGAAACTTCAGATGTAGGTGTGATTGTTGGATCCATAATTGGAGTAATAATTGCGATTGTCGTTGTTATAGTGGTTTTGATCTTCCTACAAAGAAGAAACAGGTGTTGTATATAAGGATTAAAATTTTGTCATATTGCTTCTGAATTAATTATAACACCCCTGATATTTTGGATATCCGTGATTTATTGTTCTGTTCGAAATTTGTATTGTTTGAAGAACTTTTGATCTTGAATACTGCTCCGTATCTCTATATATTTGTATTTCAGAATAGTCAAATTAATACGTAAACATTTATATAAATATTAAGTCTAACTCAATAAGAGAGTATTATCAAATTATGGGTTCATGTGCCATGGAGGAGGAGGTATCCCCAGTCACATCCGCCATGTGCTCCTTGTCATGATTGAGAAGTAAGGGGAAAATTTTCCGACAATTTAATGTGTAAAAAATATGGGATGCATTCAGTCCCTAATTATTTTTTTTATGTTGTATTAAAAAAGCATTGATTGCAATGCATGCTTTTTTTAAAATTCATATAAGGCCCCAAAAATTAATCAGTAGTTTCTCAGGCACCGCCGCATCAGTTTAAAAACGGCAGCATTGATCAATTTTATTGAAATATTGAAAAGGGAAATAACCCAATTTTCTATTTTTCCAAGTTGAAAAAGAAAATCGAGTTATTGCCCTTTTCATAAATGCTAAGATAGACGTTTTTATTAGAAAAACAATATCTTTCTTCTTTTTATTCATTCATTCATTCGTTCTTTATTTCCTCCATTTGGAGATTTGAATTACAACACATCAATTACAACATATATACATCAATGAGAAGTAAAAAAAGATAAATATTTATATATATCTGTAGAACAAGTATATACAGTTTGTTTGTATATGCTGTATGAAAACTTAAAAAGAACAACCTCATGTTTGTGTTTCATACACAATGTCGTTGTAAGTGGCTATACTAGAAACTATAAATGAAAAACATTTTAACATAAACTTCTTTTTGTCTAATACTTGGTCATGGGTACCCCTAAGAACAGATAAGTAAAAATCGTACTCATTTAAACTAACAAAATCTGTGTAAACATTGCTGTATTCTGCTGATAATTCAAACATAAATTCAGATCTTTCATTAGATGTTATAGAACACGACGCTATGGCATGTTGAAAAGTGTTTGTAAAGGGATTCGAGCAGATTATGCACTGGTATATGTCCTTTTTGGTACAAGAGTCCATAGATTTGCAATGAACTTACCACTTGCATTTCTTTTGTTGAAAGTGGATATGCCCAGAGTGAAGCCAAATGCACAGATGTATGGAGAAACTTGAAGTCCGTGAAATCTGGATCGGAGTAATTTACGTCTTTCCATGAAGAATTGTAGTGAGAATTAATAGCTTGTTTTACGATATTCTTCCAAATATTTTTGGACGGAAAACTGGAATTACTGATGTATGTATGAAGAAATCTTTCTAAGGAGTATTTCTGGATAATATGGATAAGATCTTTGACAAAATCGAATTTTGATGTCTGGTTATGTTCAAGATACTCGAACATTCGTAAAGTAAATACTTCAAATACTGCTTCAAAAAAAAAGCCTGCCTGCCGCATTGTATTTTGATTTTTTTGGCCTGAGAAACAATTGATTAATTTTTTTTGGCCTAAGTAAAACACAAATACTTAAAATATGTTGCTTTATGTAATAAGTGGAAAGGTACATGTACTCTATGAATAAAACATTTCAAGGGATATTAGGACAAAGTGAAGACATTCATTTATTTGTCTTAGTGTCTTTGAGGGTGTCTGTGCCTGACAAGAGAGCATCAAATATGAGGTTTTTTTTAAGGAAAAATCAAAACGACAGTAATACGTATGCAGATTTGGAGTTCAATCAACGAACAAAAAGGTAAGTATTGAGAGAAAGCCAAATGTATTGCTGACAGTACATTCTTTATTTGTTTGTAACTTTCTCAATCTTTTTCTCCCCGATTCTTGTTTTAATGTCGGTTATGTTGTACTTTAAAATATAGATGTTCTTAAGAACTGTTTTCAGATGAAGATGATATATGACATCTTTTGTAGTGAACAGGTTTATCTCAAATTGGAACTAGGAACTCAACCAGAGAAAACGTAAGTACTCATGACTGCTGGCCCCCTTACCATAAACTGAGAATAGACTGAAGTCAAAATTTTGATTCTGAATAACTTTAGTTTTAAAATATGTTCTTAAGATTTTGCAGTTATGTGTAATATCTAAATTTCAACAAATGATGCAAATTCAGTATCATTATCAATCTTTTTTAGAAACTTTCATTGATTTGAAATTTTGATTTAAGTTAATCTCAAGTTTATTGTCAGGGGGCTTGGGCGGAATTCATAAAACTTCTTAATATATTCTTAAGTTTGAAAAATCACTTAAGTCATGGTTTTTTACTTAACTTCCCCAAGTTTTACTTTAATTTGGTAGAAATGCTTAAGTCTAATTCATAAACGTACTTAGTGCTTAAGTATTAACTTAAAGTTAAGTGTCCTCAGGAGGTTTTTAAGTAGATAAGAATTACTTAAGTTTTCTTTATCACATATAAAAATAACGGTAAACAGGAGAAATTTTTATCTTTTAGCTGGAAACCATGCTATAACATCTAACTATGATCTCTTTTTGACTTTGTGATATTAATTAACTGGTAAGATGCAATTGTGCAATGTCTATGACATAGCTTTACAGATTAGTTTTGATGTAATACACATAGAACTAAATACCTCCTTCACAAAAGAGTGTGCTTTTTGTTCGGGAATTTTTTAGTGCTCTAATTTTCTTAGAATTTAACTGAGGAATTTTTTCTTAACTAAGAATTTATTTATACTTAAGTGTGTATCTAAGCATAATTCTTAAGTATCTTTATGAATCCCAGCCTTGATTACGTTAAAATTCTTCAAGTACAAATGAAAATCATGAATATATATATATATATATATATATATATATATATATATATATATATAGAGAGAGAGAGAGAGAGAGAGAGAGAGAGAGCACAGAGAAATTCACTTTTACATGGATATCCACTTCCGCCCCAGCCCGGGGTTGAACTCTCCACCTTCGGAATCTGTCTCCTAGCAGTGCAGGAACAGCGCGCTAGACCGCTCGGCTATCTAGGCAAGTCTAAAAACTTGCTTTCGATGTCGATGGAATTCTCGCGGCGCTGCCCTACACTACACGGTCATTGAGAATAGAAGTGAGATACAGTTATTTGGACATTAGTTTTTAACAGAAGATTGTTACCAATAGATGTTGTAATGAAATTAATTATAAATTATAAAGCACATTTTACAACAACTCTTAAACTAACATAACTGCCCTAAGTGAAGAAATATTAATACAGAAAGCACAGAGAAATTCACTTTTACATGGATACCCACTTCCGCCCCAGCCCGGGGTTGAACTCTCGACCTTCGGAATCTGTCTCCTAGTAGTGCAGGAACAGCGCGCTAGACCGCTCGGCTAGCTAGGCAAGTCAAAAAAACTTGCTTTCGATGCCGATGGAATTCTCGCGGCGCTGCCCTACACTACACGGTCATTGAGAATAGAAGTGAGATACTTATTTGGACATTAGTTTTTAACAGAGGATTGTTACCAATACATGTTGTAATGAAATTAATTATTATTTATAAAGCACATTTTAAAACAACTCTTAAACTAACATAACTGCCCTAAGTGAAGAAATATTAATACAGAAAGCACAGAGAAATTCACTTTTACATGGATACCCACTTCCGCCCCATTTTTTTCTGACTTGCCTAGATAGCCGAGCGGTCTAGCGCGCTGTTCCTGCACTGCTAGGAGACAGATTCCGAAGGTCGAGAGTTCAACCCCGGGCTGGGGCGGAAGTGGGTATCCATGTAAAAGTGAATTTCTCTGTGCTTTCTGTATTAATATTTCTTCACTTAGGGCAGTTATGTTAGTTTAAGAGTTGTTGTAAAATGTGCTTTATATATATATATATATATATATATATATATAGGTCCATACCTGTGCATCAGTTTGTTAGCCATGTTGAAGATGCTATGAGGGACAGTAATTTAAAGATTTATCAGGAATTCTCAGTAAGTTTGAACTGTTATTATTACAAAATACCTGATACTCAGCATCTTTATGTATTTGTGCATTCTAGAATAGATGTCTTTAAATGAAAAATATTATCGAAGTCTTATTAATTTTCAAGTGAAAAATTATTGACAAAGCTAGATGCAGGTATCTTGTACTGTGTTTTGCTGTTTCAGGGATTTTTTTTTTGAAATGAAAATTAGACTTTAATTAAAGCAATTTTGAATCAAGAGGCCCATGGGCCACATCGCTCACGAGAGAAACTATGGCCATGCCATTCTTTAACAGATTTCCCCCTTTGTAATACCAATTGTGACCATGCCCTATCCCCAGGGTCATGATTTGGACAATTTAGAATCTACACTACCCCAATATTCACATATGTTTCAGCTTTTCTGGCCCAGTGGTTCTTGAGAAGATTTTCAAAGATTTTCGATATATACTTCAATGTAAAACTTTGGATTCCCTATTGTGGCCCCCGCCCTACCACCGGGGGGTCATGATTTTTACAATTTAGAATCTACAATACCCCAGGATGCTTCCACATAAGTTTCAGCTGTTTTGGCCCAATGGTTCTTGAGAAGAAGATTTTTAAATTTTCCAATATATTTATATGTAAAACTTGGATTCCCTATTGTGGCCCCGCCCTACCCCCAGGGGTCATAATTCTTACAATTTAGAATCTACACTACCCCAGGATGCTTCCATATAAGTTTCAGCTTTTCTAGCCCAGTGGTTCTTGAGAAGAAGATTTTTAATTTTTTTCCTAAATATTTCTATGTAAAACTTGGATTCCCTATTGTGGCCCCGCCCTTCCCCAGGGGTCATAATTCTTACAATTTAGAATCTACACTACCCTAGGATGCTTTCACATAAGTTTTAGCTTTTCTGGCCCAGTGGTTCTTGAGGAGAAGATTTTTTAATGACCCCACCCTATTTTTGTATTTTCTTGATTATCTCCCCTTGGAAAGGGGCTTGGCCCTCGATTTTAACAATTTAAATTCCCCTTCACCCAAGAATGCTTTGTATTAAGTATGGTTAAAATTGTCCCAGTTGTTCTTGAGAAGAAGTTGAAAATGTGAAAAGTTTACAGACGGACGGACGGACAGACAGCTAGACCGACAGACGGACAGACGGACGATGGACAACGGGTGATCAGAAAAGCTCACTTGAGCATTCAGCTCAGGTGAGCTAAAAAATGAAGAATCTTGATTTATTATAATTTTATTATTTGATTGCAAGAGCCTTCTTTCGTCAACTGGAAAAGGAAGTACAAGAATAGGACATTCAAAGAACAATTTGTCGAAAAACAGGAGCAATGTTGTTCCGTGTAAGTTAAATATACAGCAACATTTCCTTTTCAAATTAGTATACTGGTATCTTGATTATATTCGTTAAGAAAAATTTCGTAGGACGATGTGGATAACATTTCAATAAATGACACTTAATCGTCTGATGAAATATTGACAGTCATTTAATTTTTTAACTATTTAAGCAGTAACATAGTTTTCTCACAAAATAATTGATTTTGATGCTGAGTAATGGATTGTTTTATTGTGACTAAATGATACCTTCCACAAAAGTCAATGTCACATACGATAAAAAATGATTTCTAAACTCTAAAAATGAAATCAATTTTTCCGTGTAAAAAGATCTAAACCTTAAAATTTTCATCCGTTTCGGACAAACGCATGCTATCCCGCTCTCTGAAATGATCACTGATGCTCTCAACAATACTCAATATTTGCAAATTATGTAGTTGGTATGATGATAATGAGATATGTCATTAATGTTACAGATGATGGCAACCGAGTAAAGTTTTCAGAAGGGAAGAAGGGTTCACAGAATGACTATATAAATGCTAGTTTTATTTTGGTAAGTGTATTTAAAATCAATTTATCTTGTCAAGAACTTTTTTTACTTCTCAGGAAGATAAGATGAGAATAAGGACCTTGAAGACCAAAATATTATAATTAGAAAATGTCGAAGTTTTGAAAATCGATTAATCTGAAGTACATTCATTTCAGCTATAAGTATAATTTTGCCTTGAAATAATTTGATTTTAATTTGTTTATTGTAAAGGAACAAAACTATATTATGACCCAGTATCCTCTACCAAAGACAACTGGACATTTCTGGCAAATGGTGTGGGAACAGAACGCACCCTCTATTGTGGTACTATCTGATGACAGCAATGAAAATAGCAAGGTAAATTCTATTTTTTAGCACGACTTATGCGGATCATTCTGCCTTTTCAATTTAACACACAAGTATTGAAAGGAAATCTTATTATAAGTATGTATGATTGTATTGGTAAAACATTAAAACAAATCAGTCAAAACATTGGAAATAAATTTTAAGTATATATCTTTGAAGATAAAAAAACTTTTATGTACGCATTAATAGACCCAATAATTTCACAGATTTTTTTTATTGTTCTTAATATATTTTCAAAAGTATAGAACTTCCTTTCTTTACTTTTTCGACATTGCGATTCAACCTTAGGAACGCTTTAAGCTTTATTCATTACAAAGTTTTAAGCCTTCCCTCAATATTGACTCTAAATTTTAAAAATTAAAAGGCAAGGAAATTCCTAAAACATTCCATATTATTATTAGCTCACCTGAGGCGAAGGCTCAAGTGAGCTTTTCTGATCACATTTTGTCCGTCGTCCGTCCGTCCGTCCGTCCGTCTGTCCGTCCGTCTGTAAACTTTTCACATTTTCGACTTCTTCTCAAGAACCAATGGACCAATTTTAACCAAACTTGGTACAAAGCATTCTTGGGTTAAGGGGAGTTTAAATTGTTAAAATGAAGGACCAAGTCCCCTTACAAGGGGAGATAATCAAGAAAAGACAAAAATAGAGTGGGGTCACTTAAAAATCTTCTTCTCAAGAACCACTGGGCCAGGAAAGCTGAAACTTATGTGGAAGCATCCTTGGGTATTGTAGATATTACATTGTTAAAATCATGACCCCCGGGGATAGGGCGGGGCCACAATAGTGAATCCAAGTTTTACATAGAAATATATAGAACAAATCTTTAAAAATCTTCTTCTCAAGAACCACAGGGCCAGGAAAGCTGAAACTTATGTGGAAGCATCCTTGGGTAGTGTAGATATTAAATTGTTAAAATCATGACCCCCGGGGATAGGGCGGGGCCACAATAGGGAATCCAAGTTTTACATAGAAATATATAGAACAAATCTTTAAAAATCTTCTTCTCAAGAACCACAGGGCCAGGAAAGCTGAAACTTATGTGGAAGCATCCTTGGGTAGCGTAGATATTAAATTGTTAAAAGCATGACCCCCGGGGATAGGGCGGGGCCACAATAGGGTATCCAAGTTTTACATAGAAATATATAGAACAAATCTTTAAAAATCTTCTTCTCAAGAACCACAGGGCCAGGAAAGCTGAAACTTATGTGGAAGCATCCTGGGTAGTGTAGATATTAAATTTTAAAATCATGACCCCCGGGGATAGGGCGGGGCCACAATAGGGAATCCAAGTTTTACATAGAAATATATAGAACAAATCTTTAAAAATCTTCTTCTCGAGAACCACAGGGCCAGGAAAGCTAAAACTTATGTGAAAGCATCCTTGGGTAGTGTAAATTCTATAGTTTTAAAATCATAAAAGGGAAGGGGGTAGTGGGGCATGATAAGTATAGCAAGAGGGGGAATCTGGTAATGAACTACCATCTCCCAAGTTACTCAGGTGAGCGATGTGGCCCATGGGCCTCTTGTTTTATAATTCATTATATATTTTTTTAAAGGGTGAGCAGTATTTCCCAGTCACCGATGGTGCAGTGCTTTCCCTTGGAGGAATTGACATAAAACTGCTTGCAACGTTTAATATTCTTGAAAGAGCGACTTTACGTAAAGTCAGGTTGTCAAAGGTAATGTTTCATTACAGGGATGCATGTTAAATATTTATTGAAGAGGTATTTCATTGCGCATATCATCAATCTCTCTTTGATCGTAGAACTCATTTTTGCGCGGAAAGGAACTGAAGAATGTAAACCACTATCACGTGTATGGTCTGAAAATGGCGAATTTATCCGACGAACTACTAAGTTGCATAAACCTGGTTAAATCGAACGAAAAAGATGTAAATGAAACAGGACCATTAATTGTGCATGGAGGATGGTAAGTTAAGTTGTCCAGTTAAATCTTAATAAATTGGTATAATTTTCACGGCTTTTCGTTTAGAATTTTGGTAATATATTTTAAAAAAATTCATGAAGTGTTCGAATTGGCATACTTTTCTTGATCTCAATTTATTGAATCTGATTTTGAATTTTAATGACAATTTTCATAGAAAACAAATTAAATTCATGTTGCACCTGCTTAATTAAAGCTATGAGCAAGTGAATCCGCATCATATGTGTATACGGTTATATCCATATAGCTCTGGGACTGACTATAGTGGAGTGTTCATTACAACGGATTATCTGGTTAAGTCAATAGATTCAGGTGCCAAGGATGTCGATGTATACCGGACAGCATTGAGTGTTATGAATGAAAGAATGTCCGCAATTAATACGGAAGTAAGTTATTTTATGAAGACGATAAGAAATGCAAAAAATATATAATGCATTTAAACTTACCTGAAGTTTATAACAACATATATTTTGCTGAAACGTTTTACACCGTGTTCAAATCATGTGTATAAAATTATGTTTTTTTCTCTTTAGGAACAGTATTCAACAATTTATATTTGTCTTCAAAAATACCTTGTCTCGAAAGGAGATGTAAAAACATATTATGAAAATTCTGAAAGAAAAAGTAAGCTTCAGAGATATCAAAAGTTTTAAATTAATACATGCACGTAATTATTATAATATTGTTGTGCTTAGTAAATATAGATTGTCTACTTTAGTTTTACTTTATTAAAGGATAGTTTAAACATACACTTTTTGTAAACTGTGAAGCGATTATACATATACTGGTTATACAGCTCGTGTAAAACCCGAGTATCAATTCAATTTATTCAATATACATGTAATATAATTTCCTATCACTATCACTAAATGTTAAATATAAGACATTATCTCCTTTAAAATGACCACATTTTAAAGTTTGCCTCAAGGGAATCGATGCGTTTTGATGTTTATATGTTATATGATATGAATGACTTGTTACAACCAAACTATTACAATAATCTAATAATGGTGGATGTTACAGATATGACACACTTTTTTTCAAATGTATTATTTCATTGACAGGTGCAGCTGGTACATACGAATATCTGCCATGAAGGTGTATATATTTTACTTGGAATATTCTAAGACATCTTTGTTAGCATTTTTTATCTTTTATGTGCTATTAACTTTGGAAGGCTTCTCATAATAATGTTTTTTGCCATCTCTGAGAAAATAAAACATTGTCGATGAACAAGGAATGATCAGAATCCAGCTACAGAAGAGTTATTAACACATATTGTAAGGTGCTTATTAATTTCTAATCGTATAAAATAAATCTTGAATTCTAAAAACGATCTTGTACGCGGTTTTTTTTAATTTACTTTATTTTTATGAGCAAACAGTTTGGTTTTACTGTTTTGAATTTGGTCTGAAAAAAGATATTAAAAAAAGTTTTTCAATTAAGGGTATATTATTCAATAAATCAACTATTCAGTATTATACTCAATTAATATCTCTTATGAGTCATTTGGAATCATTTGGAGTCAAAATACCACTTTATTTCAACGCCATTGTCCACAAAAATGTTTTTTTCTTAGTTAATAAAATTTTTCCCTTTATACTTACGAAAATCCAAATCCCCTATGTTCTCGTTTCAGCTGACGAACACATGCGATGTCATCGGAAATGTTATCATTTCTGAAATCTAAAAAAAAAAAAAACAAATTTACTGTCATTGTGAATGTACACTAATTTTTTTTTATGTTCTAATTCGTTTCACTCAAACGAACATAAATTATTTACAATCAAAACAAGAACACTTGTCTACATAGGAAATGGAAGCGCTTGCTTGCCAATATTTATTAGACGTATACATTTACAAAAACAAGTCTTCAATGGTACCGATTCTCTACCCTCCTTCTACAATATATCAAAAATATAATTAATCACACATAACAGTACAAAATGCATTTTAACACAATGCTTTTATATGTCCTCACTTCACTGATTAAAAACGTAATATAATGCATGTATGAACACAATTATGCTTCCCTCGCCGCCCAGGAAAAACCATAGATAAAAAACAACATCGATTTATGTTGAAAAAACTATGGAAACCTGTAAGTCCGCAGCAATTGCGAGGTAAACAAATTGAATGGCGGACTCATTCTCACAAACTTATGTACGTATCATATATTATAATGTACAATTAAAGTAAAACCTATGCAGAATGAATGTAAGTTAGAACTATCTGTAAACACATTTCGACTATATGTAGCTAATATGTACCCTTACACAACAATCTTACATTCATATCAAATTTTACATAAAATTATCTAGAGCGACTAAGCAAATTGTTTCCCATCTTTGACAATTAATCTGTTGTGTACAAAACTTTTAATTTTCTTGAAATGAAAACAATTACTTTCTTTATTAAACAAAATACTAGTCAAAGGTTGAAGTAAGTAAGAGGGTGGTGGGTGGGTGTGAATGTCGCAAAGCAAAGCCTTCGAATGAGTTAAAATCGTGATTAAAGTGAATACCTGTTCACCCGTTCTACAGGTATCGACCTTTAAATACTGACCAATAGCTACTGTCGCTATTATTAGCACATAATAAACAAAAGCACGTGTTCCTAGTACATATGATAAATTAATTTATGGTGAATATAACAGTATTACAAACTTTTATAAATAGTTGTTTAATTTTACTATCACTGGACTAGATGTTCATTTAAACATATGCAAAAATTTAGCGAAACATATGAAAACTTATTGCAAAAATAAAATAAAAATTAATTGTGTTGCATTCTTTCAGCTATAAAAAGGTATATGTGTTCATATTCTTTTCACATATCTTTAAAATGATGAAATTTTGAAAATCCATAAAATATTTCAGTTACTTAAACAATAAAATGCTTTCTTTGTTTGTTATTACTGGAATTGACGGAAGCAGTTGTTGCAGAAAAAATACATAACCCGCGTAAGCGTAATTTGAAAAAGTTCCGAACACATTAGTAGGGGTGTATAACCTATCATACGGTGGCATCGGTGTTTCATAAAGACGCATTGTTTTTACTCATCTTTTCTGTTTAACATTTCGTTTTTCTTACCTGTCATAACCATAACAGTAAAAAGCATCAGCATCAAAGGCATCATTTTGTACGTGGTGTTCAAGTAAAAATATGTATCGAAATAGTTGACTAAAATGAGATAAAATGTTCAAATAGTTACAAATTCTTTCCATTTAGTCAAAATGTAAATAAGTGAATCCATGGAATAAAATCATGCAACAATTTATAATTCAATTAAAAAAAACGATTTATGAGAATGTTACTATATTAAATTTCAGTGAATTTTCCACAGATGAGATATAATTTCCAAGAAAAAAATCTCCATTCCCTGTTGACCGGTCAGACCTGCGGTCAACCCTAATGTATTATTGGCTGGAGGGAAATTCCTTTGTCAAATTTTGTTGAAAGGAAATGCTTAACAATATATATGAAAGAAGATATCTCGCTTATCACTCAATTATGAATATGACTCGGTGGTGTCGTTTCTTGACATGAGTCGACAAATGAATGGAATATTACCTACTATTAATTGGAAAAGAAGTCAAAAGGTTGCATATGAAAGTGAAGGCAACAATACATATTTTCTTCTTCTTTGGTACACGTAATAGTTTATTGAAGAAATTATGTTTCATGCAATTATCGTTACAAAAATAGATAAGGTAATAAATGATTAAATTTTTGCTTATTGTAATGTCGTCTGTTTGTTGGACAAACTGGTATCTAAAGAATATATAATAAAACTTTATTCTCTCTCGACAAGCAAGGGGGTACTGAGGACCTATTCTAACCCGGATCCCCACGGGATTATAATGAATGGGATTTCTGTGCTATCCAATAGACTAGATTTAACACATTGTCGTATAAAGTGTAAAAAATGTTTGATGTAACTGACTATAGGAAGATTAAATAGCTTTTCTTTCTAAAAGTTTTTTAACGTTCTTTTTTTTGGACTGAGAACTGATAAACACTACTTCTACGTATATACTAAAGCAAAATGTGTCAAAAGGTGTTCCATTGCAGTAGATACTATTTTGGAAGGAGTAAAAGATAGGGCCTTGCTAGAGCATGTGCTTGAGCTGACAAACTATTAACACTTAAATGTTATTTTGAAGAATTTCAGCTGATATAAGTGATTTTTGGATGCAAGTTGGACTATCAGACTTTTGTTAGGTCATTCTTCTGGAAAATTTAAATCAGTAAATAAAACGACCAAAGTATATTTCGCTAGATGTTTTATTCTATTATTTTATTTAAATTGCATAATAATTTCCTGTCCCTGTGATAAATTAAAGTTCAGTTGATATCATTATTAGTCTCTTTTTTAAGTAAACATGAAACTTGAAAACGTAGCAATACTTACCTTGTATTGGTCATTTGCAAATTTTGTTAAAAATGTTCTGGTTTAAACACAAATATTCTGAAGTTGATATTAGTTTTTGATGGAAAATATCTTTGTCGTTTTTGAGACCAGGCCTTTGTTCAATCTTAAGGAACTTTTGAACAATTTCTGCTAGGGATTTTAATTAGTATAAATAATTTTAGAGCTTGACTTTGACTTTTGGGTTAGGGTTACTTTTGAACTGTTAATACGTATACATGTCTGACACATGCTTTTATGTACCTCTAATTTTAACCTAGGTGGATTGATTAGTTGTGTGTTATTTTACGTCCTATTCGAGAATTGTGCACTCAGAGACGTCACCATATGCCAGTAAATGACTACATTTTTTTTTACCTTTACTAAGCACACAGGGCCATTGAGCAGTGAGGGGTCTTTATCGTGCCAACGCCTGTCGTGACACGGGGTTTTTAAGGTCTCACGCGAAGGACCCACAACTTTCATTTTAAAGTGCCGAACGCAAGGCAAAGGAACAGTTTCTACCCATTCACCCCTACTAATGTGTTCGGAACCTTTTATTTTTCGGTGTTCTGCAAATTATAAAACCCGATGAGTTCAGAGTAGCTCTGGCAGTGGCTCTGGCGAGAGTTAGTGAGACTTCAGCGAGATAGGGTAAATTATTCACGGAAATGTGGCTAGGAAGTGACTAGCACGTGGAGGCATGGTAAACAGAAAGGTTATGCTGCGTTTCAGTGTTCACCACCCCTAAAATCAGCTGATAATGTCTGTAGATATGTACTTCAATCAATCTATCTTTTTTACACTCATTCAAACTTAAATAAGTATTCTCTATAATACAATTTTCGGCAGTCATGAATTAAAATTTCTTTGTGGACAAATATTTTTGCATGGGAACCGGGACTATATTTTTTGGCGTCAGATTAGCAAATGAGGCACCAGCATGGTTTTAACTGACCAGTCAACTGAATGAGTAGTGCATTATGGGTTACTACGAATACTACAACAGGAATTTTGCGCTTGAAAAAAGAAAAATCTTATTGTAAATGAAAAGCATTTTTTAAAATATTATTTTCATGCTCATCATGACAAACAATTCATGTATTAAATAAACGGCGGAAGTCTAGGTTTCTGAAAATCATACTGCAAAAGCGATTTGCGTCAGTATTAATTCCTTTGTTGTACTATCGGTGAATACTATTGCCAGGTGAATTCCCTGACCAAACACGTGATCACAAACGTAAACAAAGTTTTGTCCATTTAAATGCATAAGAGAAGCTGTTCGTTTTCCTTACCCTTGAAGCGCTGGTGTTCTGAACTAGACACAAACTACATTTTATTAAACATTTTTCCATTTAACAACAAGTCAAAAACGCCTGTAACATGTATTTTGCAGTCCATTAACATGATCGTAGATTGGTCTGAACTACGTGTTCGAAGTTAAAATGTAAACATGTATTTGGCGTTAACATTGCTATTCATTCAACGATTGGCCAGTTGCTCGTGATAAGATCCTCTGTGCACATTTATAACAATAGCCTTATAAGGCAAACAAAGGTTTGTCAGTGTAGATGATAATGCACATTTTTACCAGCGCATCGATCACTAGTCAGCTCTAATTTTCACCAAAAAGTATAAAAAATATTATTATTTTAACACCCCCTCCTTTAGCCACCCTTCTCCTGTTGAAAATCATGAAAGTCTTTCAGAAAGGTCTGGAAACATTTGTTACAGGACGTGTTTTCAAAAGAAACAGGCTATAGCAATATCGTGTTTACTGCCAATTTTATTTATAAAACCGGTTCTACCCTATAACCTTTGAATAGATCAACCTAAACCACGTGTCTTGAATTTAAATCACAATAACATTAGTAGGGGTGCATTTTTGATCGACTTAGGTCAGTCGCGGCCGAGATTCGAACTCCCGATCTTCTGATGACGGAGCGAGCGCTCTACCGTCTGAGATGTGACCGGTAGCCTAGTTGGGAGATGACTTACAAATCATACATTCATAAAGTGTGTCGAGGAGGGGTTATTTATAAGCTTCTCGAGAGAGTACTAGTATTCTATGAAGATAGATAAACAGAAATAATTAGATTATCTAACATTTCAATTGTTAACGCTTACATTTTTTCAGCAATATGCCCTTATGAACTGCATACATGGTTTATATCTCTCAAATGATTCAATAAACAAAAACATGCTCTACATACAAACATTTTTAAAATGTGCCTAGCTATCGAAAAAAAAGTTGATGAGACAAGGATGTCAAAATTCTCGTAAGAAGTCATCATTTCGAATGTTCTTTGTAAAAAATAAAAAGGTAAAATTGTGTTTAGCTTGAAAATGAAATTTAATTCTACATTGAAAAACTGTTATCTATTCATAAAGTGTAATTAATTCAGTTTTAAAAGGTACAAAATGATACTATGTATATCAACGTAAGTAATCATCTGTCATAAGATAAAGATCGTAAGTAAGTAATCTTGATATTATATTGCTACGCTATGACGCCTCTAGGGCTTAACTATGATAACCGTGGAATCTTTGTTATAAAAATGATATGACAAAAAGAATTCAAAGAATAGTTGATTACTTATCATTTTGAAACTTTGATTAACTTTCATTTACTCCCGTAATATAATTTAGGGCTATAGTAAACTGAAGTTAACTTTTTTGCTCGTGTCAGGTGCATTTCATACATACAACTTTTTTCTTAGCTATCGACGACCACATTTTCTTCTTTGTCCTTTGTACGTAATTTCTGTAGATGAGCAATTACATAAGTTGGGTCGTTTACTGCAAGTTTTACTTGTCTATAAAATAGAATGTAATATTTCTTAAAATTTTCTAATATTTTTTTGACCTGATTACCCTGTTCACATATTTGTATTCTTTGACGATTTCATATGATTGATCACTCTTCGTTATCTTTTTCAATTTATTTTCAAACATATAAACCAGTATCGATTATTCTTTTTAAGCAATGTTTAACTAGTAAATTACAATTGTTATATGTTTATGTAAATGAATACGAAAAAATAGAGAATAAAAAACTCGATTTTAAAATAGATGGTTGTGCGATCTACTCCATCTGAGAATATTTAAAAGATTTTTTATTGAATAAGCTGAATTAAGAAAGGAACATATGCATAGATCTGGCATCAATAATCTGCACAAAATCAATATACAAATAGTGGTTTTCTTATAAAAGTAGTTAGCGATTGTTTATTGGTGGCTGATGGTGGTATAATGTTGCCCCAACGAAAGCTTGAAGGGATTCTAGAAAGGACCTATTGGTAAATGGCTTAATGGTGGGTTTTTCTGATTACTTATTGGTCCCTGTAGAGAGTTTTTCACTCATGTGGAAACGCCACCATTTGCAGGTAGAGAGCTGCAAATTTTGACCTTTACTCGGAACTTTCTGCCACTGAGCAGTGGGGGTCTTTTAGTGTAAGCACCTACTGCGCATATGACCTGGGTTTATATGGTCTCGTCCGAAGGACTGGTCTCACGTCTGGCTGTGAGATTTGAACTCATAACGTAACTCCGTGACACTAGAGCGAAAACTCTGACTAGTATATTAATATTGACGTAAACACAGTTTAAATGCCACCTCTAAGTACATATAATCCAACGTTTAAGCTATCTATAAGCACCCATTTTGGACTTGAGCTCAATGGTGGCGTATTAACGAGTAAAATATAATTAAAGGGTTCTTGCTGGTGATGTAAATGATTTTTAAATCAACCACAACTATTAAACCTAGTTAAGACGTCTTTATGCAATCTTAAAGGAAGTGTTTCAATTTGTTTGTGAAACGTTTTAGACATGTTACCCTTTAAGTTCAAAATCTCGTAATAGAGATACATTTGATAATTGTAAATTATAATATCAATTCATGAAAATGAATTGAAACCCTGAAGCACACTTTTACTCATAATTTTTTATGCATATAACATTAAGTAAATCATGCAGTCTTACAAATTATAAGGATTGCTATAAGTTTGTAGTTTTTATTATGAATACCAATAACAACAACAAGATGTTTTATTCAAATAATTATATTTTCAAGAAAATAATTTACATTTCATGGTGCGTTGAATGTGATTAAAAATTGATCAGTTTATCCTAAAACCAGAAAAGTAAGACCAGTGATTACCATACACGTATTCACCAAAATTTAAATGAACTCTGATCCATACTTTCTCTTTGGATTTCAACTTGATATTTACTGTGGAGGAACTTGCTAGGTACAAACCACTCTTAACTATTTTCCCGTCGGCGTAATTTCGGGCGACCATTTTACCATCCTTGACAATCTCTGTGTGAAACGCTTTTCCTGAAAGAACTAAAACATTCCAGCTGAAGGAGTATATCCCGTCCTCCGGAGCTGTAAATTTTCCTGTTGTAGCATCATAACCCAAACCTTCATTTAGTGTCATCTTTTCAAATATTACCGGCTTTTGTGCCCCAAGACTTGTTATACTCTTGATAAGCACAGCTTGAAATGCAATTCCTGAAAACCAAGAAGCATTGCATATTGTATGTATTTTCAGTAACTTCATATATGAAACATTTTTCGCTTTACCAATTAGTCTTTTATTTTGTCTTGAGGAAAAGGACTTTGAAGTCAGTTACAAACCTTTGCTTTGGCATGTTGTATCTCTATATCCAAGTCCACTACAGATCGCCTTATAATTGCTGTATTTTGTCACAATCTGTTGAGGTGTCTCTAGTATGGCAGTTGTAAAGAACTCACTCAGAAACAGCAAAAATAGAGGGAACCTAAATTCAAAACATATTTGAAGCAAACAATACTTATATTGATACAATGGCAAATTCCTAATTTTGGCATCGCATCTTTGTAATAAATAGACTAAGTAATTATTGGTGTTTTGTCCATGAAAAATGAAACCTTTACATGTGTGAATGACATTAAATTGATAACTTAAAATTTTCGTTAAGAAACATACTTTTACCTGCACATTATTAGTCCTTTGTAAGTAAGCAAGAAAAGAAGTTTACTACGGAATATTTTCTTGAAGATGCTTACTTACTCTCTTTACATTGAAGATGAAATGCTTTTATAGCTATTGCAGACATCATTAAAACAATATATGATATTTAGTTCTTGCAATAAGATGACACAGAATATTGATTTTATACAACAGATGTAATTGACATTTTTAGTATACTGATATAGAAAGTACTCTAAGCAAATAAACAGTTACTTACATTTAAAATCTAGAAAGACATTTCAATTGCTGCATTGTCATTGTTGATGATACCTAACATAAACCTTAACAAAGTGAGTCGAAAAGAAATTGCATTTAATATCAATAGAATAAATGAAATTTCAAATTCAAAGAAAACTGAAGGAAAATTATTCCACAAGAAAAGGAAATTCAGTCATCAATAGGTAAGATTTTATTTTGTCACTAAGTTTATCAATTTAAGAAATGCTTATTTCAATATCTATATTTTTGCTTATAAACATATGGTCAATTTGCTTTTTTCCCAGTCTTTTCCAACTTTGTTATTTTTTTAAATAGAACAGATACGAAGGGATATCAAAAAGTTCGTGGACTAGCGCCATAAAATTAAAACCGTTTTAGGTACATCAATGAATTTTAAAAGATTTTGTTAGCATCATCTTTTCTATCATTAGAATAAATCATAAATCATAAATATTAATTTCTAATAAGTTAGGAATGTTTTTGTAAGTAATGGTATGCCCAGGCGGCAAAACCTCTAACACGACGTTTTTTTTCGACCTAAGTAAAACGAAAAAAAACTCATTTGATATGAATATTTGACGCCTAAAAATTCCATTAAATCAGGTATATGTTGGGACACTATTTTTCCATAAAAATAGAATTTTTACCTCATTCTGCAAGTTCTATGAAAATTTATCTTAAATTTTGCATGGAGTGACCAAAGAAATATGGCCTTGAGACTAACATCAAAAGAAGGGAGGGGTTTCCTTCTCCAACATTCTACCAAAGAAATGTTTATACTGACTACGGGGAAATAATTAAAATGCATCCAGAGTACTTGTGTTTTAATACCAAAAGATATTCAGAGGGAATAGGGATGCACATTTAATGTCTATCTGAGGTCAAGGTGAGAAAAATCAATCACGTCAAAAATGACGTCGATCATGTGTTGTAGATGTTAAACTCCAAAAAGCAAAGTATGCTTGAACAATCAAGCGAGGATCTCTTCCTGATATTGTAAAGTCATATAAACAAGGCGGGTTTAAGTCCTTACTCAGCTCTAGGAATCTCATCAAAATAAGGGTGCGAGGTAGAAGAAGCGGGCATTGAAAAACAATGACGTTATTTGTTGTCATGAAACTAAACAGCGACGGTGCCAGATGATATAATATAGTTTTTATTTTATAATTATTTGGCAAATAATGAATGAAACACGCTAAAATTTTCAATAATTCTTTACTTTTCGTTGTTTTATGTTCCTTATAAAATTTGAAAGCACAGACTACGTAATAATAATTTTATAGCCTCATTCCACGAACTTTTTGATCACTCCTTGTACATCTAATTATATATTTAAAAATATAGAATAAGGATGAGTAAAAAAAGAGATAAATTAGATTTTTTCATACAGCATTAAATTTTGCTTTAACATTTTGTTCTGTTTTGTTTGATTTTGTTTTGTATGCAGAGCTCCTAGTGCTTATATTCTTTATTTTGATTTATATCTTATTGATATAAAATGCCATTAAATAAATAAATTAAAGGAAATATACTTGTCAATATTTCTAAGTCCCCACTTTTATTTTTTCAAAAGTTAAAAACCTTAACTTCAATTTAGTAGTTGCTTACAAATATGCCTTTAATTTGCAATACTTACCTGTCAAAGCCAAAAAAAAATTGCAATCGAATGTGTAATTACTCAATCGTGACCGCTTTTGTTAAAAAGCATGAAGTTCGAGTTCCACATGTTTTTCGGGTGTATTCTTCATATTTTTTACTTCCATGTGTTCTCCATCTTTAATTGATAACGAAAAACAGAAAAAGGCTTGAATAAAATGCGGTGTATGTCCACACAACAATGTGCAAGTGAAGTTGAAATGGCCCAAGCTGGTCTTAGTTAACGAAAGTTCTGTTTCCTTTCACTGTATGACTTTATTTTACTTAAAACCTTTATAATTACCGCCCGAAAAACCTACAAAGCGTACCTGAATTCCTTTTAATCGTTAGAAATCGCTAGATTTTCAACAAACACCACAAAATCATCCTAGAGTTTATCCGGAAAAATCAATGGAACCGGAACCGGAAGTGCCCTCCCCTCAATGTCAAACTGGAGGAGTGGGGAATATGTGTAAGAAGACGTTAAGTAACTATTGCTGATAAGGCACAGATAATTTCGATAAGCTCCCTTGTCATCCAAATCTCAACCCTAATTAGCATGTTTGGAAGAAGATAGACCGGAGTGTGAGACAGCTTTTCCAGCAGCAGAATCTAGCGGAACTAGAGGACGACCTAGTCTCCACACGGAAAAACATTCAATAAAAGAAATTTTATTAAATAGTGTGAACTCTTTGAGGAACGGTTGTCTTGCTGTGAATTCATTTGAATGGATGATTATGCAGTATTTAACGTTGTGATTTTTTAATTATAGGGTGCCTTAACGTTTCTGCATATTGTGTTAAAGCGCTTCCATAAAATTGATTAAGTGAGAAAAATTATTTTATTACTTTATTATCCTGTATACTTATTAAATTATACTGTTTAAATAATTCAATGTAAGAGCGATGTAAAGCAAAAACTTGCCTGGGGACTTAGAAATTTTGACTAGTATATTTCCTTTTGGGATGAGTATTTGTCTTTCAATTGTTTGGACTGTAATTCTTCAAGACATCATTTATAAATTCATTTAAGAGTGCTTCCTATACATGTGTAAATTTCACTGTAAACATCAGTGAACTGTTTGATTGAAATGTGTTAGAACAGAGATGGTGCTGAAATTCTCCCCGTGAGGGTTCTTTGTGGTATCAGACACTAGGTCATCTTTAGTACACAGGTGCGATCTGTTAAAACAATCACAGCATTTATTATCGGAGAGTAAACAGGAGCAATAGATAATCCTTTTCTGGTCATTTTTAAGTCATCACTTACCTTTAGTTAGATACAATCTAGTCATCTAGTGGTCCATACACGATTCGCTACTACTGCTCATGTAGACGTTGACAAAATATACAAGACAATGCTTAGCGCAAAGGCTAAGGCGTTTAGCATAGATAGTCTTTTGGCTGTCGGACCTAGTTTTGCTAGAGAAACAAGCGTGGACACTGACAACCGCGTTCACGATCTCGGAATTTGTCATCAAGAACATCCAACCAAAAAACATATTAGCAAGTGTTTCCATCCGGCATTGCAGACCATTACAGGTAGCTAGAGAATTTCTTACCTGTTTTTAATTTTTGTACAACTTTTGATTTTTTATATTTGATTATAACATAAATTTATTGTCATTTTTTTAAAAAAAAATTGTCAGTTTGTACGACGCATCAAGAAAATAAATATTTATAAAGACATGTATATTTTCTTCATAAAAAGACACATTTTTATTTCCATGTTTTCATAAAACAGTTCACAGAAACATTCATGTTAATCTTATTTTATCAAAATTGTAAATTATATTCATATAAATAAATTTTTATGCATGGAATTAAATTAAAATAATTTTCAATTTAAAAAAAGGAAATTACTTAATACTTGTGTTTGATAACTTCTATGCAATAAAATCCACATACGAAATAAATGCAAATCACAGTAGTATAATTCATATTTCCAATCCAATATTTTCGAATGCTCGGTATTTAGGTAATACGGGTCATGACGGGTGTGACCGGTCAGTAGGGGATGCTCAATCCTCCTAGATACCTAATCCTACTTTTGAAATTCTCAGATACCCGTGTTTGATGTTCAGTTTACAAATTTACTTGTTTATAGATTTTAGATCGATCACTGTCCGTTATATTCATCTTTTACATCTGAATTTCCTTATCTGATGAATAGATATAAGGATTTTTACTTGCCTGTATTTTGTGATCCATTTAATGATAGTGCATAGACTAAAAAAGCAAAGTTTTTCTCATGTAAAAAAAAAATTGACATCGCCCGGATAAATCGTTGCATTTCAATTTGCATATTTACTTGAATTTCATGCTGTATTAATATTTTTTTTAGTTTTCTTATATTTCGGGTTAAAAAAAGAAGCAACCCACCTTTTCAAAGTTTCTCTTTAGTGTTAAATAATAACTTTTTTCCCCAGAAATCGTTATGTCTTTACATTGAAGAATATATAATTGAATTAAATTTTGACTTGCTGTGTATGTGAACGATTCCCTCATTCTGATCAAATTTTTACATATTCTACGCTAAAATAATTCATAATTCAGGGCTAAAAAGCATTAAAAAATATATTAACATAGCTATTGTATTCATATTTGTAAACTCACAAGTACTAAAATAATATATATATATATATTTTTAAATACAAATTCTTTTAAATTGTAATTTTCTTTCTATCAGCTCCTCAGCCAGAAATCATAAATCTTTCATTTAAAAAAAAAAATTAAAATACCGCTGGAAATTAAAATGTTTTCGTGCAATATTTTTTTATTTCATGAATCTCTAATGGGACTATGAAGTATTCGAAATGGTCATTTAAAAATTGGCATTTGTACCCCTAAAAAGTACAAAAATAAATAAATTATTAAGAAAATGGAATAACTTTAAATCAAGCCTATGATTCTGATACTTATTAATTCTATATAGAATAGAATAGTCCGTTCTGTCCAGCAATGATTACACAATTTTTATACATTATATTTTATAAAACAATTGAAATAAATAAATCTACTTGTACACAAGTATTAAAAAAAATAATGAATTTTAAATAGCAAGATATTATTCGTTTTTATCCTTAAGATATAATGTATTTGTTAATCAATTTTCAATTATATATTTCATAACTGGTAGTTCTACTCCTATTTTCTGTAAATATTTTGACATTTGATAAATTAAAGCAATATGGACCACATTTTCGAGAATTTTATTTTGTTATCAAAATTTGTCCTCACGATAAATTTATAAAGTAATTTAGACCTTTATGATCAATTGGGCTGAAATAAAGTTTCAATTATTTCAAAGAAAAACCTTCTGTGCAATCAAATATTTAATATTATTTGAGAGAAAAAAGATATTGTACAGAGCGACAATAATTTAATTTTGCTACATTAAAATCTTTTTTATAGTTCTTCTATTGCAAATATGAACAAAATAAGTTTATAAATGTTCTTTTTCCCAGTCCTTGATATAGTAAATGACAATTTTGCTGAAGGAAATTTTGATATCAAAGTTACAGCTCATATTGTTATAACCTATATAATATTACTACCTATATTGATGAACTTTGAATAAATTGATTTCATAGACATTTTGCGGGTAATTTTAAATGCATGTAGGGTTTATATCTCTCATTTGATTTAGTTGATATGCAACAGTACGTGTGAACAATTTCTAAAACGAAGTTGGTTATTGACAAACAAGTTGAAAAAACAAGAATATCAACAGTTTTCATTATTTCTTAAATTCTATGGTCGATACAATGACCTTTTCAGCACATTCAATTTATCATTAAATCAAATGCTGATTTGCGTTTTTCAGACTAATTGTTGTGTCATTTTGTACACACTGAACATACTTCTGATATTCTAAAGGTCCGTGTTTGCTCTGCTCCTGATTATGATTTTCTAACGGATATTGAGCTTGAATGCTGTTCATATATTTTATTGATGATTTTAAGAACTTGAGGATAGCACTGTCTTCAGTGAAAACACAACACAAAAAAGAATACTGTGTTGTAATCGCTAACTCATCTCACTTTCCAATTTTTTATTCAGATGATACGAAGGAGATCACTCTCCAGATAGAGTTGTGTCAGAATGATTTGTGGCACGCATTCCACAACTTGGGAACCGAGATGATTATAACCAAAACCGGAAGGTCAGATCACAATTTTACTTTTGTATCTATGGTCATGCTTTCCTATATGTTTATTCTCTAAAATGATTGAAAAAATATTTCACAACTTTTTACAAAAAATTTATGCTTTAATATTTCTGATTAAATATAAGTGTAATTTAATTCGTTACAGTATATAGTTATTTAAGAATGGCGCATTATTGATAAATTTTTTGCGATTTGCCTTGAGTCAGCGATTTCTTTGAATGTGATAATTTATTATCAAGAGATGAAAAAAAATGTTCTATTCCTTAAATCGGAATGCGTCAAAATATTATGAATGTCAAGTCATTACTTTGCTGTTTGCGAGAAGATTATTTTTCCTATAAATATTCCTATGTCAAGCTTTGATCTCCTATTGTGCAACATGTTGAAGAATTTATTGCTTTGCTTTCACCGTTATTTTTATTTATTTATTCCTATTAATATATATATATATATATATATATATATATATATATATATATATATATATATATATATATATATATATATATATATATATATATATATATATATATATATATAGGGATGTCAAATCGGTCAATTTTTACTACTCGGTTACTCGGACGTTTTCCGTCATGTTAAGCGAGTACCCGGGTACTCGGTAAAAGTGTACATAAATATGAGCAAGTAACATTGAAAACTGTAAAACATTGTACACTCTTGTAGAAATAAACCACATGCTCCTATGGGAGGTTTACCCGTAAATCTGATGTAATAATTATGAGCACTTCATGCCCGACGAAATTTAATATAACATTTTTTTGAAAGTTCAATTTATTTATCTGATAAACACAAGGAATAGAATCATAAATAGTTCAGTGTTTTTTTTTTTGTTGTTTTTTTTTTTAAATGTTAATCTGCTCCGTAATGTAATGTAAATCTTTGGTTGCGTTTGACGTCCAAGTGATCAGTCGTCCGAGGTTCAGTATCAACTTGATCAAGTTCTCCTATGACAGAGCGGATTTAATATCTTCGTACATTTTTCTGATCCTATAATTTATAGTATTATGGGACGGTATGTTTTATTTTGATGCAACGATGGACATCGGTTTTATATATATATATATATATATATATATATATAATTAATTGGCATGCAATCAAACACAACCAAATCAACAATCCGTTCGCATTAATATCATCTGTCTCTTTTCCAGAATATACGGCTTCTTGGAGAATTGACAAAATTATCTAATTTATTACACATATTTACCACAAACTTTCAAATAAAAAAAATATTTCACAACATTTTAAAAAATTATGCTGTATACAGGCATATTTTCGCTCCTCGTTATTTTCGCCCTTTTGCACTTGCAAACTATTTTGCCCGTTTTAAATTCGCTCGTTCTTAGTTTTGTTTATAATTACTGTATAAACATTCTGCCACAATCAGGAAACGATCATTTAGGGGTGAAAATAAAACCTAATTACTCTATGTACATGTATACAGTACTTTAATATATCTGATTTAATACAACTGTAATTCATAACAGTATATAGAAGAATGGCGCATTATTGATATTTTTTTGCGATTAACCTTGAGTCAGCGATTTCTTTGAATATGATTTTTTGTTATCAAGAGATGAAAATATGTTCTATTCCTTAAATCAGAATGCGTCAAAATATATATACATGTCATATATATATATATATATATATATATATATATATATATATATATATATATATATATATATATATATATATATATATTTATATTTTTATATTTTATTTATATATAATTTCTTATTTGTTTTAAGTCATTCATAGTGTTTAGTTTATATTTATATATCAATTGTGATTTCTTTGCTTGGTTTGATTTTGTTTCGTTAGTGTTATTTGTATTATTATTATTAAGTAATTATTATTATTAAGTGTTTTGTTTTTTAATATTTTATTTACTAGTATTTGCTACTTATTTGGGTTTTTTTTACTTTGTTTCGAGGATTATATCTTTCGCTTACTAATTCTCACACGTATATGTCTTATTAGGCGAATGTTTCCTGCAATTAGAGTGAAGCTTCATGGACTAGACCCCGGCTGTAAATACTCCGTTTCACTAGAATTTACTCAAATAGATAAACAGAAATATCGCTACGTTTATCACAGGTAATATATTTTAGAGTCATTACTTATTATTAAAAAATAACACAAAGCAACTGTTTTAATTCATTCGATGACAAGTTAAATCATGGAAAAAATGCAATAATTTTTCAAGAAAAAATATTGCAATCCCCGAGGAAAAAAATCCACTAAATCAAAATGAGATGAACCACTAAATCGCTTTCCGAAACTTTTGTATGCATAATGCATGAAAATGTTGCTATGATGAAAACATGCAAAGAAAGGTGAAGAAAATGTTGTGCCACATATTATTATTTTCCAGTTCAAAGTGGATGGTTTCTGGGCTTGGAGATGACATGATACGAGATCAGATTTACCGCCATCCAGACTCCCCGGCAGATGGCGCTGTACTTGAATCCCAGATTGTTTCTTTTGAAAGGATAAAACTCACCAATAACGACTCCCCAAAATACGGACAGGTATAGGAAACTTGAAACTAATTGAAGAAAAAAAATGGATTCGAAACTTTAAATATAATTTCAATAAATAATTATGTTGTGAAATATGTTTTAATATATATTAAAACAATTTTCAGATTTCACTGCTCTCTATGCAACGATTTGTCCCCCGACTTCATGTCCATCAAATCTCACATGACGGAGTAAGTGTCCGTCACTTTATGGCAGTATTCCCACAAACCTCATTCACCGCAGTTACAGCCTACCAGAATCAAGAGGTACATCTTATGTTATTAAAACATTAAAACAATCAATGCATTTTGCATATCTTATATCATAATTTTCTTATTCAGTTACAATTATAGTTCATTCAGTTAGTAATACAAATTATGTACTCCCATTCATAAGATACATCATATCATCTGTAACTGTTTAATAACAAATCATCAATAAATTTATGAATGTACATTAATCAACATCTGTTTACATAAAGATTATGAAAAATAAATATCAACACTAGTAATCTGGTTGTAATCTCCAATATTGACATAGGATCAAACAAGTGTAGCATACTGTGCCAATACTTGATCTGTGTATCCCCCGATATCTCCTAACACCCTCCTATCCGTCAGAGTGTCAATACTAACTGATACCCACTATCTGTGGTGTTAATCTGCTAGGCAAATGATCATTTCCTATTTCTCCAGATAACCAAACTGAAGATAGCTAGAAACCCGTTTGCTAAGGGCTTTCGTGAGGCCGGGAAAAACAGGTACTTTTATATGGTGTGAATGGGTCCTTCATTTGTTTACAGATCAGTGATAATTACGATTAAGCTCATACGTCTGGCTACGATTTTTATCTTTTATGATAAGTAGTCCCTTGATTTTCAATTACATGTTTTGTTTTTACCTTTTTTCACGTCATCTACAAAGAGGATCGATAATGATTAAACACTTCTATCAATGTTTTATCTATAAGTGACATATACTTTTACGATACCCATGATGTGGCTGCTTATATGTGAAGGACGTGTCCTTCTTTTAATAACCATTTAGAGACCTAGTGATATTTATTATTATTGCTTATAAAACATTTTATGTAAAACTATCAAAATTCAAGAAACGAAATTCTCAGAAATTGTTTTTTATCTTTTTTCCAATTAATAAAAAAAAACCCACCAGGTTTCAAAGTACATATACGTGTATATAAGTAGTTAATTAATCATCATTTTTAAAAGACTTGCAAAATTATTAAATGATCTTTATTCTTCTAGAAGTTCTTTGGAAGCCATGCTGGATTCCTTGTCTGCACACGGTGTTCGGCCTCATTGTAATACGATTCCGAACAAAAGGCAGCAAATAGGTACAGTAATATATAACATATATATGGATTTTAATCTCTGTTATATATATACATATATATATATATATATATATATATATATATATATATATATATATATATATATATATATATATATATATATATATATATATATATATATATATATATATATATATATATATATATATATATATATATATATATATATATATATATATATATATATATATATATATATATATATATATATATATATATATATAGTTCGAACAAATATCACTCTTTTTCTAACCTAATAAAAAAAATTTAGGAGTCTAATATCAACTACAGAATCGTGTGTGACAATTTTTTTATATTAAATATAATAGAAAAAAATTCAAAAAGTTTTCACTGTCATTATTCATTGCAAGTAGTTGTGATATAAATTTATCCTATGTCAAAATAGTACATGTACAACAGTCTTTAACTCAATCTATAGGACCAAGAGATGAGACAGAAAACAGCTTGGCTTTGTTTCTTTCTGGTAAAGAGATGAAACTGTTTACCAATGTATGGAACAATTCGTCGTGCAACAGTGTAGCTACAGAGAAAGTGCCAAAATATCCATACCTTCTACACGTCCAACCACCATCATCACAGCTAGAAGTTCAGACACCTTGTATAAACTTTGAATCTGGAACAGCTGTCGGGGGTTTTCCGAACCAAGTGCCATCTGAGCAAGCACCTGCTTGTATAGAACGGCCCCCGGTACAGCGGCCCACCAACAGCCCAGTCTGGTGTTCTAAACTGCCCCTCCCTGTGTCCCCGATATGTGACTTCCAGGCTCACAATGTCTCTTCTCACCTACTGCATATGTTTAGATATTCCTTAAATAAATAAAGATTCGTGAATATCTGTGCTTATTTAAGGTTCTTATTTTGAGCATTGAAGAATATAGAAAAGGTTTATCATCTGGTGCGCTAGATAAAGGCATTACCATTAACATTTCAATTTTCCTGAGTTCATGGACATGTAGTTCTTTTACACAAAGTACTAAATGCATAACTTACCCTTTTCATAATTTGCAAACAGGTTATATGGTATATTATATTAGATATTGCTGGGTATTGTTTCCGTGTCTTTTGTAATCTCAGGCATTAAATCTCTCTGAAATCTGATACAGAGAAGAAAAACTGAATGTTATTCAGTTTATCATAAAGAGATTCATTTCTATTATTTCATAGATGTTATCAGTTAATTGTTTGTGTCTGTGTACTATTTACTTGTCATTTTGATACCAAATTCATCTTTTGAAATAATGTACTCTAATTCAAAAAATTAGAATAATTAGTTTAAACAGGTGTAACCCGCATAATTCTCTAGTTATATCCCAAGGTATTTTGATGACAAAGAGGGGTCATAGACTGAAGGACTGGGAAAGAATCTTTCAACACTGCAATGATTATAATTCGCACTAATAGGCAATAACTGGGACTCCAAGAAGACAAAACATGGAGTCCTTCATTAATTTCTAATCCTCTCTTAATTTGCTGTCCATGGCTATCTCCTATAAAGTGATTTCCTCCATTTGTCACTGGAAGCAGCTCGCCCTCGTGACGTGAGAGTCAACATCTGGAGAGTAGAAGGATGATTGCGATGATGGTTATCATTATTTACGGTTCTTTGACAAATCAAAAAGATCGTGGTGTTTGTTCTTCATTCTCCGTGTTAAGATAGCGGCCGAGGCGATACTGTCACGAGATTTCAGATGCCATGATACGTTTCTATGGAAAAAGATTCTCTTATGGGCGGATGTAAGGACTTCATGAGCTACTAATGTATTAACCTCGGTCTTTAATGTATTGACTTATGATTATTGCATCAGATGAAAAGGATTAAGCAGATATTTCTGTAAGACCCCTGCAGGACTCGTAAACGGTAAAGCATGAATCTCAAAAGAAATTAATGTCAGGGAATGTGTCGAGTATTATAAAATACACAAAACTGATCTGTATGCCAACAGTGTTTCGAGATCTCTTAAAAGTAAATTATGATTTTACATTATGAATTTATTTTTTTTCCAAAAACTCTTGAAAAATTGAAAAATTGATTTATATTGCCAACTGTGATTGGTTTATGAACTGCAGTCAGGATATGACATCAAAACATGGATAATCTACCTAGCAGTCAATTAAATTAAGAGGGGTGATAAAAAAATTCGAGGACTAATTGAATAACTTCCAAAAAAGAAATGATATAGAGTTTCAGTGTAGAAAATTTTTCAAAGTAGTCCTCTCCAATCTTAAAGAGCATCTGTCACCATTCTGCCCATGCACGGATCACGTAATATAAAATGCGGTCACCTGACATGCTCCTTAGCGTTCTGTCACAGAAGCTTAATTTTTTTTCTGACTCATATTTCTTACTACGCAAATTATTTTTTGCAACAAAAACAGTCCATTTGTCAGAAATGGCGTAATTTTGGCAATATTATGGATTGATAATGATATCATTTTGCGGAATGAGCATGATGACCATCAAAACCCAAGTACTCTGTCTTTTGAGCGTCGTTTATTTCATGTGAATACAAGGTGCCTTCACTTTATCATAACTGATATGTTTAAAGTCTAAAGTAAACAATAATTTAGTAATTCGATAATTATATTATTGTTAAGACATTCATCTATTTTTCTAACTGTAAGTTGGTGATCTTTTATATTAAATTGCTTAACAAAGGACACGTCTCTCTCCCAGTTTGCTTTCACTGGGCAACAGAATAAATGTCATTCTTAAACATCTCCCTTTCTTCACTTAAACAATCATTCTTATTAATGAGAAAACTTCTAGCAAGTCTTTTGTCTTCATAAACCGTTTACAAATTTTTATAAACTTCTACAAAGGAATTTCCAAGATATATCTTTAACTTTACAGCCGTTCGTGTCTCGAATACGACGGAGTTTTTTGTCACACGTGATCTACCTTATGACGTTATTTTCACTTTGTAACATCATAAACACAGAGCAAAACGTTCCATTACATATGCTATTTATAGAACATGTGTATGACTCTAGGTGTGCCAAATTTCATTCTGATCTGAATTGCGGTTTTGTAAATATAGAGATAGTTCGCGAACTTTTTGATCATCCCTCCTATATTATAGATTTGCATGTACAGTTTACAGCGACAAATCGATCTTTTGGTGTTATGTTTGCATAAAGTAAACTTTAAGACGAAAAAAAAGGTAAAGTTAATGAACAGTGATTGATTTTAGAAAATAAACATAAACAATACAAATCTCTGAACAAAGCATGTACCATGCACCACTGGTAATTCCAGATAAGGTTCCTGTGAATTTTTAATCAGAAACATGAATACTTTTGATATCCCTAAGAATCAAAATGTATTTGAACTACCATATCTTTACTGGATTCCAAGACTTCACAAAAATCCTTTCAAACAAAGATACATGGTGGGTTTGAACTTTCAGTAAATGTTCAATCAAGCCCTTTTATTTTCTCCTATGGGATTTGTTTTTTTTCCTTTGGAATTTCTTTTTATAATTGTACAACGTACATGCATGCATTATATTCATTAAGAGTATGCTAATAGTATGCATGTATAGCAATTGTTGTTGATATTAAGCATTAAGGTTGATGATCCTCGGGTTCTGGTAACCAGGCGTTAAATAATTGAAATTGCTCATAGAATGTCTATGTACATGTATTGTCAATGTAATGTAAAACACCCACGAGAAGTCTTCAAACTTTATCCTTAAAATAAATCATAAAATATAGGGATTATAATTTAGTTGATCTCCAATAAAGTTTCAGGAATTGCGAATAAAAACACTTACTATGCCCCTTTTTAGCTGAAAATTAATCAACAAATACATTTTAGGATGAAAAACTTTAGGTATTTAGGTAATTGAAAAACATGGCGTGGTTTTAATATTTTTAACATCTCTTTCTTCTGTTTACGTCATCATTTTATAAAGATTTAATTTTAAATTTAGAGCTTCATACACAGAATTTTTGATAAATTTTGAAATAAAGAGTTATCCTTTTTGACTACGGATCGGAAAGCCTTAAAATAAAAAGTTACAGTGACCAGTTTGAAGTCCACGATAAGGTTCTTTTTCTGTACTTATACCCTTGACTTGGAAGACATGATAATCACGATTCTATTTTCAGGCCGAAGTTTTCAAGAATTGTTTTTTCTTCCTGGTATGAAATTACGAATTGGCCGATCTGTCTGATAAGAATGTACATATAAACAGTCTCCTTTGTAGATAAGTCTAATCCAAGTCCCCCTTTCTTTCTGTTTATTGTGGCAAGTATTTTAAAAATGCATTATATGTTTTTATACTCTTAATTCTAATACTTTTTGCAAAAGTGCAATATAAAATCTTTAATAGTAGTACTCATGTATTTTAAAGAAAAGTAAGCTAATTTTTAACATCTCTCGCATCTATTTATTTCATAATGATTATTAATTAATGAATTTAATATGTAAATACGGATGTTTTATCGAGTGATGAAAATGACTGGAATGACTCTTATCATTTCTGCAATGGTTCTGGCAGTACAGGTATGTAGAATTCTTTAAAAAAAAAAAACCTTTTGATTTAGCTTGCTTAGCAAAATTCATCAAACAAAAAGTGTCCAAAATTTTATCTGTAAAGGTCTTGATTCTTATATCAATTAGAAAATATATGAAATCATCCACTTTGATTAAGCTTAAAATAATTTTAATAAAATAAGTCAAAATCTGATATTCATCAATTGATTGTACTATTATCTGCAAAATCATATTTCTCATTTTTTTTCTCTGAGATCCCTATTACTATTTGGCTATTATTGTACTACTTTACATCCATGATCTTGTCTATAATTTTGTAACAATAAAGTGTTAAAAAGGGATATTGTCATCATTTTTTTTTTGGCATTTTCAGCGAATGGAAAAACCTTTGGTAGATGCGAACTGGCAAAGGAATTAGCAAGAAACGGTGTAGCCCATGGTGATATTGATGACTGTTAAGTAAATTTAATTAATGAAATTAATGACTTTAGATGAGACTGCTGGTATTCTGGGTTCATCAACTTGTTTGTCTATGATTTACATCGTTAATTGTTCATACATAGAGCATGCTCTTCCGTATCGAATCAACCGAGAGATATAAACTCTGCATGCAGGTGATGAAGGTGTATTAATTGCTGCATACATTGTAAGTAAGGGGGGTTGACGATAGAAAATCTAGGTCATCACGTTTATCACATCAATGTAGCATTTATTAAACAGGCTTCACTTAAAACAAAATTATTTTTAAAATCCTTTTTATATTCTTAATGTTCTATTTTGCTTTAAGTTGTAGCACTCGTACTTTGAATTCTAACTTCAAAATGGTATTATTTAGATGTCTGTATGGCAGAATATGAATCTGGATTTGACACTCACATCAGAAGTGCGGCAAATTCTGATGGATCTCACGACCATGGAATTTTCCAAATAAATGATTACTGGAATTGTGATCCTGAAAATGGACATACCACAAAGAACGGCTGCAACCATCCCTGCTCAGGTACTGTAGAACATGGATACATGTAAGCAACTTACTCATAGCAAGTCAAAATTATGTCTAACAATAAAATCTCTCTACTCAGGTGACAATATAAAAGCTAGCAAAATATATTTCTGTTAAAAACTGGAAAAAACCCCTATTTCATCTATTTTTCAGTCAAATATTTCCTATTTAACGAGGCCGAGTCTAATTCGACTGCGCATCACTTTGTGCAGCTTTTTAATTTCATGCAGTCATTTGTTTGACACAGTAACTCATTGAAAGAAATTTTGATTTTAAAACAAAATTAACATTATCTGTAACTCCTACTGGTCTGAAAATGTGATTTTACGACAATAATTGAAAAAGAACGTTGAAATGGCTCTAACAACGTCACCATTTTCGGATTTTGTAAGCAGTGGATGGCACTGAAGAATGACACATCACTCGCTTGTATGTTCAATTTCTGACGTCCATGGATATTATACTATAAACACATTACAGAACTTCCCAAGAAACATACTAGCAATCTAAAAATTGCTATTTTATACCAAAAATTTGTATGCGCCGATAATTCATCTACAAATATATGTATTTATACGGTAATGTGGCAATTTTAGAGGTTTCGAAAAATAATTAGCTTGGTAATTACTACCTAGACCAACCTAGATGGTGAACTTTTTTGAAATTTCACAATTTGGTGACTTTTTTTCATAAATTTTCATCTACTTGAATAAAAAAGACATCCCTAGGGCAGAAATACAAAAAAAATATGGAAAAGATGTAATAATTTGGCGATTTTCCAACAAATTCCCATAGGGTCCAATAGTAAAATCTGACAACTTTTGAGATGGCCCCCTAAGAAATCATTCGATTTTTTAATCCTAAAACAGTAAATATAACAGTAAAAATCAATTATCAAAATCCCTAGGCAGAAATAATTAGACTCCGTCTCGCTAACTTAAGGCATCCCAAAAATATGAGAAAAACTTGAGAATTTAAGATTAAAAAAACGTTTTAATTAATTTAAAACATACTGGTCACATCTCAAGAGGTCTTAACAGGAAATGGTTTGAATTTCAATAATACTTCCCATGATCATCTCATTATCATGGCCGAAAGTCAGAGTTCAAAAGTCAAGGTCACTCACTTAAAAAAAAAAGTATTCGCAAAAACTTTATTTTTCTCAAACATGTCAAATTTCCTGTAACTTTGTGGCACTCTTTGCGCAAGAAAACTGCATTCTTGCGTACAATTTAAAAACTTTATATTATATAGAGCACCAACTTTTCTTTTTTAAAAGAATTACTTTACTCGTGTTTGCTGTAGGTTTATTAAAGTCATTCTCTAATAGATTTCAGAAATGACGATATATCTGATGACATCAGCTGTGTACAACAGCTGAAAAGAGAACATCACGGATTTGGTTTTTCGCAAGTTTAGAATGGATTATTACTAACCCCCTTCCCGAAAATTTCAAAACCCGCAGACAAGTACTGTTAATGTTAGTCATATCTTTACTGTTTTCAACTTTATAATGTAAGCTTAGTTTGAATAAGATTTTTTCTAACCGTTTTCTAAATCGGACAATTGCTTTACGTTATATTTGTTACAAACTGATCGACAAATAAAAAATTAATCTTCAAATATTATAATACAGATTTTGAATACAGTACATACGCATAATATATGTAAACTGAATTTTTTGTTGTTCTTTTTTTCCATGCATTTTACTTGAACTGAGATTATTTTAAACAATTCATAAGCTACATCTTAACTATATGTAACTATGTTCTTTTTTCTCTTAATCCTCCCTTGTAAATTGTTTTAAAATGCAGAACTTTATTTCAAAAATATAACCTAGCTAAATTTTGTGGTACTGAGTAAAATAATGTAGACAAAGTTATTTAATGAATTCTTTTTCTTCTTCTTCAGTTATGCCTGGAGAGATCACTGTACACAAATAGACTCGGACTATCTCAGAGGATGCTCTTATTAGGAAGATTTCATCCATCACTTCTGCCAAATATAGCTATGCCACATACTGTGCTTAAAATATGTTCTGAATTTTTTTTATACCAATCCAACATTCTGAAAGAAATACAGTATTATATTTTCGAAAATCAGTAGACGATATGGCAGTCCTGGCCGCCTCCATACTGTTTCTTGCAACCGCGTAGATGTCCATATTATGTGGGATCAGATGCATCTCTGGGTTTTGTACCATTCTGCACAACTCTAGCATGATTTATAGGCATTGTTGGGTCGCAATCAGTAGCTCCATGACTGTCTAGGTCGCATCACTTACCATTCATAAATGAAAGATCACACACAAGCTTAAAACCTTCTAAACTATTTCGTCACCGGAATCAGAGACCTGTGTCATAGTTTATTGAAGCCCATCCACCCGTGGGCCATCCCAGGCCAGTTGGCCTGCTCCAGTGTCATCGATATCTGCTAACATGTTAAACTGTGGACACTTGGTCTTAGTTTTCCTGTTTGAAATCTGTCAAATAAGTATACAGAGTGTTTCAGAAAACAATCAACCATTTACTTTCATCAACATATTGATATGCAAACAGAAACATATGAAAGTATTATGTAAAATTATTCTAAAAGGGCTAAAGTTTTTATCAATATCAAAAAAATAGAAAATAACTTCCATTTTAATTAATTATGACGTCATATTTGACATACTGAAAAAAGAGAGTTCAGCATTTCTAAGGTTGAATTTGATAAAAAGCAATCACCAGGAATTTCGATACTGCTTAATCGGAGCATGCCACCAGTTCATTTGATTACGGTAATGTATGAAATTATAGTTTACAGAATGCAAAGAACTTACTAATAGCAATATAAAGTGGGAGTTGTATAAATCTGTTAAATTTTATAGCTCAATCTGATTAAATTCAGATCCTTTGATCCGCTCACATAGATCGCTACACAAGGCGATCTATGTGAGCGGATCAAAGGATCTGATTTTAATCAGATTTTTTTTTTTATAGCTAATGGAATAGTTAAAACTTGATCAAAAAAGGGGGAAAAGTGAAGACGAAAAAAATAGAATACATGAAAACATCTTGAATGTTACTTATTAGAAGAGGCATTGTTCCAGAGACTCGCATGAAATCCTTTTGTAAGATAACTGAGTTTGTGAACAAATTGAGTAAGTCAAGTGTAGATCAGATGCTGAAATACGTTTTGAATTTTAAACATTGGACTTGATAGAACAAATGTTAGCAGGACTTTAAAATCCATTAAATTGGGCTCCACACTCACCTCACTTAATTAACACCCCTTGACTTTTATCTGTGGGGATATTTAATGGTCAAAGTGTTTAGCAACCCCCCACCCCCAATGAACTCAAAATAATTTGAAAAATGAAACTTCATTTATTTCCAAGGGACTCTTTGCAATAGTAATGAGAACCTTCTTGCATCGGATAGATTTCATTCTTTCAGCAAAAATGACCCCATTTAGAGCATATTTTTTAACTAAGTGAAATTTTACAAGTTTCTTTTTTTCTTTTGTAATTGATTATCTATTTGCCGTATTAACTTTACTTTAATAGGAATTAATCTTGAAGTTGTGACTTTTCATTAGATATGTTGGTGCAAGGTATTGGTCAAAACACCAGTAAAATATAATCAATCAAAATGGTTGCATGTTTTCTAAAATTACATTCAAATGTATACAAATGTATCAATGCCCTGAGAATATCCACAAAACAAACAAATAGTTGTTAATTTGCTAATCTCATTAAAACATTCAAATAAAAAACAGATGTTACATAGATTTGCGGTGTCTTTTATTTTGAGTTCACTATTTCGAGTCGTCATTTGAATGGAAGAAACAATTGTTTATTGGTGATATGAGGACGAAATATCTGAATGTCGAATTGAAGGCCATTGCCAATGGTTTCTTCTCGTGTATATATTGAATATACTGAATAAAATTTGAAAAAAAAAAGGGGGCCAGCCAATAAAAAAGCACAATAAAGACCCATTGTAAATCCAATTTTCAATTAGGCCTAACAAATTAATTGTTACTTTCATTCATATGTCGAGTCCTAGTGAACTTGAATTAAAAAATACCACGAAAGTCTTACACAACTCTTTCTTAATTGAATATTTTACTACGAAAAGACGTAAATGGTTACCTAAAAAACAATTTAAGAAAAAAGTTTAATTGTTGTATCATTTTGTTCCTAGGTCTTTTATGTAGCAATATTACCAACTAATTACAAAGTTTATGTCTTCCATTAGATACACAAGAGCATGCTCTTACGTGCGATTATTTTATACGAGATATGGTTGTGATTATTAAATAAGATTTAATGTAACAAGAATATCAACAGTCTCTTTTAATGTCCTCATTTAGCAAGTTCTGTAATGGTAGATATAAACTAATCAGCAAATACAATCTATCAAAAGGCTTAATACTGATTGACAAATTTTCATACTATTTGTTAGGTCATGAGATTATTTACACACAAGGGGGGGGGGGTTATTACTCAATGGCACCTGAGCATGCATCTGGTGTTTTGGGGGTATCCCAGCTCAAAAGTCTATAACATGTATGAAGCAATACAAAATAGGAGTAGAACATACACGGACCTCCAAAACATCAGAGGTGGGATCAGGTGCCATGGAGGGGTGAGCATCCCCTGCCGACCGGTCACACCTGCCGTGTGCTACTTGTCATGTTCTGGAAATACCGGAAATCAATTGATCAGTGTATACATTAATGTAAATAATGGGCCATCAATTAGTTTGAAAAACGTCAGTCAGCATTTGACTCAATAATAAAATGTATTTGCTGATAAGGTTTTGTATCGACCATATAACTTGCGAAATGATGACCAGACTGCTGATATTCTTATTTCATCAACTTAATTGCTTTTCAATAATTTACTTCGTTTTAGAAATTGTTCATACGTAGAACATGCTCTAGCGTACCGAATCAAATGAGAGATATTAACTCCGTATGCAGATGATGAAGGTCAGTATGTTTAAGGAATCACTGTCTAGAATAGTATGCCAGGGCAGTGGGAAACATGAAATAATTTGCATAACACGTATACTCTGAATCTTTTATCTCAAGCTTATCAGTGATTTCTGACACAGTCTTTGGCGTAAAATATACTGAACAGATTGAACCACTGGTGTTTACTGGTAAGTAGTGCCTGTACAATATAATACCCGTAAACATATTTTAAAAGATGTATTTTAATTATCATTAAGCTAGAGTGTAAAGGGAAAATATCAACATATTTTAATAATTTGTCATAAATGATTATAACCAGTTCACTCAAAATAAAATACAGTACACTAATATACTTGATATAATTTTAATCCAGTACATGCATGCACATAAGGTCAGGGTAAATATTGAACTGCTTGTCCTGGAATTGTTATAGGCCCCTATGTGAATATGATACCGCCGGTTTTCATTAAAGATACCGTCGTTTTTTCAGTTAAGTATGGTTTCTTATATTTGTCGACCGAGTTATCGATGCTGGTTGAATTCCTAGCTTTCCTTACTTTCAGTACTTTGATTGATGGATCTTCAAAGGTATAACATTTTCTTTAAATTCTACTATATTTTTCAACATTTTATTATTTACAGTAAAATAATATCTGGCTTTTATTCTTTTATCTACAATTTGAAAGCCGACTTTGATGCAATATTTTCTAAACGGAATTTAATTTTCTTCCGTTTACTTTTACTTTTAGTTTTTTATGAGACGCCATTTTTCTTTTGTTCAGGAAAAGAGGTAGGACTTGATCAAGACTTGATTCAAGTTTATGCCAATCATTTTGTGTTGTTTAAAATGCATAATGTATAAGGATGTCTGAGAGTGTAATTTAAATTGAATACGGATTATATGCATTACTTTCAGTTACAAAAGTACATGAATACTGTTAACATGGTTAAGCTCAACCTCAGGCTTGTGTTTTCTCGAAATCGATTTTTTTTTTGCAGTTGAAAATTTGTACTCTGTATTTAAGTATGGTGTAATGTTACTGTATACTGTATAGACAAACATTTTTTTTACTGAAAAATGTAACCTTTCCACTTCAAGTAAAAAACTGAGAAAGGTAAACCTGATTGACTGATGATCGAAGTGAAGGGAGGTAACTCTTGTTTTTCTTCAGATAATGGCATTACCAAACTTCCGCAGTATACAACAGACGCCGCCTCCCCCAGCTTGTGAGTAAAAATGCAGTGAATGTGATTTATTAATTATCATTAATTAAATACAAACTAATTAATACAATTAAATGAAAAAATGTAACTATTACCGTAATCTCAAACCTTGTACCCTTTGTTTCAGCTCGGTCCAGGGGTTATGACAGAAATGTAAGTGAAAGATTTTGAAATGAATCTTTAACATTTTAAGAAAAATAAATTTATCAGGCCTTTCAAAATCTGCTGGTACCTGGTACTTTTACCCGGTTGGATTCATTCATGGTACCGGCCAAAATATTCAGTGGAGAAAAAAAAATCGTGTGAAAATACGATAGGCCCTACCATGTTTTACAAAAGTTGTGGTTACGTAGCTTTGTATTATTCTTTAGTCCGTAATGGTATCTAATAACGTTTTTGATTGGTTAGTCAAGAAGATCATTAAAGCGTTTGAATAAATGAAACAAAAGAGATTGCGTAACGCGTCCTATAGATCTTGTCGAAAACGAAAGTAGATTTCGATATCAAATGCCACCGTCACTGATTTTGACAAAAGCTAATGACTAGGAATATATTTTAAATAAATACGGCCCAAAAAATGAAAAATAAGAATCCAGGTGTGAGAAATGAAAGTGTCAATTTAAAGCCATGGTAATGAGTTTCACAAAAGATTTTAAGATACAAGGAACTAGACCACGGAAAGTCTTCAACACAGTACAGATAGAGAGACGGACATGAACAGTAGATAGTTCTTTGACCACCTCTGTACATTTTAATAGCCTCAACTCTTCAAATTTAAGTGTCAAAATCCGCAGCTGACGATATAAATTACTTACAGTCTTGAATATCTGCAACTTTCTGATGAAACAAAAGGACATAAAACAGAAACTATTTCTTTTGCCACACATTTAATTCTTTGATTCAGCAGTTTTCTAGTGGTCAAGAGAATGACCTTGCGGACGTTTACTTTCTTCCCAATATTGTAACCATATCCAGTAAAGTGAGGGAGTCATATCTTAATTTTTTTTTTGTCTCCAGTCTTGATGTCATCTTTGTCTAATTTACACGTGTATATTATTTTATATGTACATGTACCAGTGCATAAAAAAAATATGCTGAATTTATTGGTACATGCTATGCATCATGCAGTGCTTCTAAATTTTTTTTAAAATCTGCACTTTACTGTAAAACAGAAATGAATTTAATTTAATGCAAATACAATTTTCATTTCTCTTTTAATAAATTTAAATTTTAAATTTCCATTTCCTTTCGTGACTCAATAATTTTTTTTATATTTAAAACATAACACTTACAACTCAATCCTTGCAAAAAAATTTTGAACACATTTATATAAACAAATATAGCATAGAACTTAGAAGTTTAACCTAAATCTTTTTCTTACTCTGCTCAAATAACTAATTTTTTCTATGTAATTTCACCCATCCAGTGCTAAACTTCACATGTAATGTGTATTGACCAAAAATAAACTTTGAAACATGGCATAAAAATAACACTGATAGCAGCATACTTCTATGTGTCTAGAAACCAGGAAATGCTGTCTCGTGGCTTCTAAATTTCAAAATTTTTCCGGGGGGGCATGCCCCCGGACCCCCCTAGCAGGCTCACGCCTTCGGCGTTCGCCAAGTGGTACCTCCTCTTTTTGATAAAGTACCACCTGGTTCAAATCTTTTTGAAAGCCCTGATTTATATAATGTTTTGATTGCTAAATAAATACTTCTCTTCCAATCCTAAATATAATAAGTTTTGCATGTAGCTTGCTCAAATCTTATCATTGGCTCCAAGACTCTGACACTGAGAAATCCATTTATAAATCATGAATTGATAATGATTGCAAATATTATCTTGAATGACTATTTATTAAGACATGATCACAAATATTCATCCTCACGTCTTGCTATTCTGTAGGCACCAAGTCCATTTGTACCCTCCTCCCATGGCCACCCTGCATTTAACCCTGTCAAAGTCAGTTCTCGCGGTGGAGTAAGTAATCACTTTCAGGTAATAACAGTTTACGATTCTAGGCATGCCATCCATCTGTTGTCAATGCCTGAAGATGGTGCTTAAGCAGACCTCTGCCTGTCTGTATCCTGCTTTGTGGTAACCCCAGCTTTGGTATTGAGAGTTAAATATCTGTATTTCTATCAGTGGATACAACATATGCTTTGAAAATCTATTTAGATTTTGCATCACTTTGTCAAAAGCCATACAGAGATGATTTAGAAGATCATTTTCTTTTCTTATTTCTTTTATGGATTGTCTTCTTGGCAAAATTGAGAAAAGGGAATGAATTTTATTAACATCAGTTCATTTCTGAATCTTGAGAGTAGAAGTATTTGAGAGTAAGAGAAAGACTGGCTAGAAATTCTCCAGCATCATGTACTTCTATAATAAATCACAATACTGATGAATGCTTGATCTTTATATTTAGACTTACTACTAAGGTATATAAAATTTCATGCAAAAAATTAATTAAAAAAACAAACTTTTTTTTATTACAAACTTACAAAGCTTTGTGTGTAACTTGCTTTCTTGAAGAGTAGAATATCATATGCTTTAAAATCAACATCAAATATATGCATACATGTATGGAAAGATTGTCTGCTTGCAAGCATATTTTTAAGTAGTTGATAAGTATCATAGACATTAATTATACTTGGAGCAGTGCTGCTTTTTCTGTTGTAGATGAGTCTTTTTTGTAGTAATTGGCACATTGTATCATGGGTAGTAAAAGAATTGACTGTGTTACCTTTGTATATTGTCTGTCTGTTTTCTGTGTCAAAGAATGAAAGGTCATCATTGAGAATTATTATATTATCATGTGCACCTCAAGTATTATTTTGTCTCGTTAGTTTGATTTACTTATTCATTAAATGGAAAAAAAAGTTGCAAAAAAATATTGTAATAATTTTTTTCAAATTTTACTTAAAAGTTAATAATAATGTTTATTATTTGATGAGTAATGTAACTTAATGGGATTCTCTTTCAGGGAGATTCAAGGGGACCAAAACAACCTAAGCCCCCAGATAAGCCCCTGATGCCCTACATGCGTTATAGCCGAAGGGTAAGTCAAGTCAATAAATGTCTCAGTTCAAACCTGAGCAAATTGTTAAGAATATAAACTTAAAAAATAATTTCGTGTTAGTGCAACTTCTGCATTCCTTTGACAAGGAATAAAGTAGAAATATAAAAGGTTTATTAAGATTCTGAAAAGGAAACAAGTATTTATAATGAAAAATAGATTGATGCTTTACTGTCAGATTTTCATGCCTTTGTTCCAGACTCTATAAGTTGTTCAGTTTTATGTATGATGTTGAGCTTTTCTTGTTAAGGTTTGGGACTCTGTGAAGGCTGCTCACCAGGATCTGAAGTTATGGGAGATTGGTAAAATCATCGGTCAGATGTGGAGAGAGCTGTCTGATCAGGATAAACAGGAGTATATGGACGAGTATGAGATGGAGAAGGTGAGGGTCAAGTCTTACAGGGGATTTTATCAGATTTTACACACTTATAAAGACGAGTCTCTTACTATTGTCTTTTTTTGTCGTCTTCAGAGTCACTATAATGATGAGATGAAGAAGTACCACAACTCCTCAGCCTATCAGTCATGGGTAGCCGCCAAGGGCAAAGGTAGGACTTGTCTGGTTATACTTTGTCAGTGTGTTCAGTACATCTTCCACAAAAAAAGAAATATGCTGGGTTTTAAATACAAATGTATTAAAATCAATTTTACTTTGTTGTACTGTTAACAGCTGCGGCAGAAGCTGCCATGGAGGAAGATGAGAAAGAGAAGCAGGCACAACGGACGCCTCGCAGCACAAGCGCCTCCAAGGTATGAAGCAAATCTTAATCTTTTCTATGTATGACAGTTATTTTATGCATGTCACTTCACAGTGTTATGTCTTCTGAGTAATGCCGTTGCAGTACTGGCAAAGTTATTTTCATGTTTTCATGTTCATGTTTTGAGAAAAAAACTTTTGAAATCAATTTTCTGATTTAAAAACTGTGCTTGTTTTTATTTCTTGGGGGTGTTTTTTTATGATATTCAATTGAAAAATAAGATATCCTTGTAATTTGAATGCAATGTAATAGGCAGGGCTCTCCAAATTTCACCAAGTGCCAATGATGACTTTTTTTAGAGTTCTAAAATGGACACGGTTGGCAGAATCAGCATACAGCAAGCGGATGATGATGATGGTAAAAAAATAATTAGATTTTAAAACATATTATTCAGATAAATAGAAAACAATTGAAGTTTATCTAAATTATCATATCCTTTTCAGTATGTACAAGTCTAAATGATTTGCATTGCACTGCTAGTGCCCTGATTTGCCTTATTCTTGCCTACTTGATGTTTAAGTAATATTGATCTGTTTTATAAGAAGGGGATGATAGTTTCTCTGTGAAGCACATGGCCCACACCCGATACCTACGCAATCACCGCCTGGTTAATGACATCTTCAGTGACACAGTGGTGCCTGACATTAGAACAGTGGTAACTACATCCAGAATGGGGGTACTTAAGAGGCAGGTCCAGTCCCTCACTATGCACCAGGTATTAACCTATTCTTTATTTTTCCAACATTTTAAGTTTTCTGTGAAGTATTACTCTCTTTAGCTATAGAAACTTATATTGAATGACATGAAAATATTCTGTATTTATAGTAATAGAAACAATAAATTTACATTAAATCTCAGTACATGTGAAAAGTGCTAAATTTTTAACCTTATTTACATGGATGGATCTTTATTTTGTCATCTATTATTTTGATTTAAACAGAAAAAGTTGGAGGCGGAGAACAAGCCACAGGTAACAGAGGAGCAGACAATAAAGCTAGGAAAAGCATGAAGCCAAGAAAAGGAAATTCCAGGAGGCCAGCGATTCATTCCACGAAGAACTCAAAAATGTATGTAGTGTAAATTTATTTCAAGTTTTTACCAAGTAATAAGTGTTTCATCCTTGCATCATCCATGAAAAATATAGTTATTTTAATGAGAAGAAAAAAAGATTGGAAAGTTTTAAATATTTCCTTTCAATTTGTACAGCATAATTATCATGTTGATTTCATTAATTTAAGCTCTGTGAAAACAAGCCACAAGTGACAGAGGAGCAGTTCAATGCTATGGTTGTGAAAGCAAAAGAAGATCTGAAAGTAAGACATCAGCAGTACCTACAGCAACAGGAGTGTGGAAGAGAGGTGTGGAAGAAACATAAAGAACAGGCTGAGCTGTGGCGGAAACAAAAAGAACAGGGGCTGAGTGTGGACCATAATCAGGTAAAGATAAAGAACAGGGCTGAGTGTGGAAAGATAAAGATAAAGCTGAGTGTGGAAAATCAGGAGAAGATTGAGGCAGAGGAGAGGGAACGACGGGCCCAGGAGGCCAAGGAACAGGGGCTGAGTGTGGACCATAATCAGGTACGTATAAAGAACAGGGGCTGAGTGTGGACCATAATCAGGTACGTAAAGATAAAGAACAGGGGCTGAGTGTGGACCATAATCAGGTAAACATAAAGAACAGGGGCTGAGTGTGGACCATAATCAGGTACATAAAGATAAAGAACAGGGGCTGAGTGTGGACCATAACCAGGTACATAAACATAAAGAACAGGGGCTGAGTGTGGACCATAATCAGGTAAACATAAAGAACAGGGGCTGAGTGTGGACCATAATCAGGTACATAAAGATAAAGAACAGGGGATGAGTGTGGACCATAATCAGGTACGTATAAAGAACAGGGGCTGAGTGTGGACCATAATCAGGTAAACATAAAGAACAGGGGCTGAGTGTGGACCATAATCAGGTAAACATAAAGAACAGGGGCTGAGTGTGGACCATAACCAAGTACGTACACATAAAGAACAGGGGCTGAGTGTGATCCATAACCAGGTACGTAAAGATAAGATTAAATGGTCGAGTGTAATCTGATAGGAAAAATCAGAGACATTGACCTACAGAGGTGAATGTGACTAAGTGGGATAAAGACTTAATTGACTGAAGAAGTACTGTTTAGGCCTGCCTTCCTTAAATCAATGCATATCTTTAGAGATTACAAATAAATGAAATTTTCTTTTTTTCAGAATTCACAGGAGGCACCAGCAGTGCTACAGAATATGTTGGATGACAGCACTTTGTCTGACAGACTCGGAAATCCTGAGGTAGGAATGTTGTATATCAGTGGAAACCTTGTCTAATCAGTACAAAAGTACAAGGAGTGAGTATTAAACCTAAGTGATAAGTTATGTAATATTTCTTCTTTACTTCAGGAGGATTTAGAGCCGGACAATCCAGACAATATGGATGCAGAATCCATGGACTCTGAGAAAACTGAGGTATAAAATTATCCTCTTGGCCATTGTTCCTTACAGTGAATTAATAATTTTCATATTTTACTCATTTATATTTTTGGATAGTGGGGTCTGTTTACTTTTTAAAAAAATACCTTTATAAATTAATGAGTTTTATCTATCATTTCCCCATAATAAAAAAAGTCTTTTGTAAATGTTGTACTTGGAAAATTAATGTTAAATTTTCTGTTCTTGTCATTGACAACCATTGTGTGATTTGTGCAGGACATGTCACAGGACGGTATGATAGGTATGGAGGGTTATGAGAAGGAGGGGGACGACCCTCTGTACTCCCCCTCCCCTGACTCTCCCACCACCTCCCCCGACATGATGACTCACGACAAGTCCCTGGACCAGCTTGACAGCCCCGAGTCCCAGGAGTCCGAGGCCACCCCCAAAAAGAAAAAAAGTAAAAAGAAGACGAAGAAAGAGGAGAAAGACAAGAAAGAGAGAGGGGAGGGTGAGTAGTGTTTTGTATACAGTCACATGATCTGCATGCTGTGTGAGTCAGGAGTGGGCAAGGAAGAAACGTAAAATAGAACACAAAATGAAAGAGGTTTTTTTTTTCAGGTTTAAGATTTATATCATATTTTTTGGGCAATGAAAAAAAAATAACAAGCTCATATCAAAGCCTGCAAAATTACCTTTGGTTAGAGCTCAATATACTGAAATATATAATTTTTGCTCATTTAAGTTTTTTTTCTTACACTCCTAAATAATTGTCTTTAGAATTCTGATTTTTTGGGGATTATTTTGAATTACTTTATAAGATGAAATTTTAGAACTATGAAGTTTGTATCCAGAAAAGAATTTTTAAAATGTGAGAGTTAATTTAGGAGAATGCAAGTTGATGGCTGAGAACTATTTATGGATACGTCATTAATTAGGCATCAGGCAAGTGCTTCCTCAGTATTAACACGACTAAAATTGTATAGTCTCCGCGGACGTTCATAGCTTCGTCTGCCGTCGGGGGTTGGGTGCGGAAGCTTGCCGATCAGTGAACTTTCACCTCTGCATGCTTGATTAGAGCTGGAACATTTGAGGCATGACTAGGGTGTGTTAGATGGGAATGTCAGTCTGGAATGCATGTGACAGTTTAGATAACCTATATTTATTGCGATCATTACATAACTACTGTTCATACAAGATTATCTCAAATAATGGCAGTATTTCAAACTGCTAATAGCTTCATCATTGCATTGAGCATTTTTAATGCAGAAAAAATACTTTTTTCCTAATGCTAAATGTCACTAATATAAAATTTGAGATAATCTTACGTCCATGTTAACTTATGTCAGCATGTTGCACCTTTTTGTTTTCCTAGAATCAGCCAGTGAAGAGGGTAGGTATTATTTTATAGAACCAATTTATTGTATGTATGTGTTGTTTGGAGACAAACTAGGGCTGTTTGAGTTTTTAATTCCCCATTCATTTCAATCACAGTCTTTTCCATTTTTGTACAGAGAGAGAGAAGTGATTATTTCATACAAGCAGGTTTCCATAGCCATGATAATGATTTAGATTTACATATGATTATTGAAAAGCCAGAAACACTGAAATTACACAGAGAATTAAAAATACAGCAGCCTTAAACTATCTTAATCTACTGACACAACATTAATAAGTTACATTTAGAACCCATTACATTATTTTAACACAACCATATAGATCTCTGATGCAAATTTAAAAAAAAATCTTTAAGTTAGATACAGATTAAAATATCAGAAGACAATAACAACTTTATATTTTACATGCCACATATGTTACTGATTTGTGTACAGAATTAATACACGACACCAGGATTGTTCACAGATACAATAAATCTGATAAAGTTTATTACACAACTTACTGGCATGAAAACGCTAAGACTGCAAAGCATTTTGGATGTGTAAATGTGAACTCTCTTTTAGAATATATTTCTTATTTCAAAGTTTACAGTGTTTGACTATAACTTGTGGCATGGTGCAAAAATAACACGTACTAATATTACCGCTAATAACACCACGATTCATAGAGGGCTGGGCCATATTATCTCTCACACTGTAGAACTTTACATGCATTTTGAGTTCATCTTGATTTATTTTCAGTTCATTCTCATTTTTACTTTCACTTTTGATTTTATATATTTTATTCACAATTTCATGTGATTTATTTCTTCTCATTTTATTTTTTTCCCCTTAGTTTGATTTTGTTAATTCAGCACATCTAAAAAAAATCACTTGGAATAAATGGTCACAATATTTTTTGGTTGCATATTCTAAAGTTTTTGTTGTAATCTTCTAATCAAACGATCATTTAAGATTTAAAATAATGTTTGCCAATGGATGTATTTTCATCAGATTTGCTACCCCATAATTTCTCTTCGTTTAAAATTTGTTCATTTTCAATATGCACATAAAATGTTTAGATGCAACAGTCAAACAGAATTATAGTTAACACTTCAAATTTCATTAGAAAAATCCATTTCCAAGATAAATTATCTGAAAAAGAACCATTCAGCCAAATTTTCTTCAATTTCAGAGGCCAGTATGGTAAATAGCACAAAAAAGAATGTGCATATGATAAAAGTCTGACTTTTTGCTCCTCTCTAGGTCCACGTAAATATCCCTGTGATATTTGTGGGAAAGCTTTTAAACACAAACACCATATGACAGAACATAAACGCCTGCATACCGGCGAAAAACCCTACTCTTGTACTCGCTGTGGAAAACGCTTCTCCCACTCGGGGTCCTACAGTCAACATATGAATCATCGGCTCTGTAAACCCAGCGCAAGTACAAACGGTAAACTCTAATCAGACCTAGAACAAAATCCCAGTGTCTACATTTTATACACCTCCAAATTTGCCATTATGTTGTGATGACAGAAAAAAATATTTTTTTTGATATTGTACGAATGTCATCAAAGTGTTGCACACAAAACTCCTTGTTCTCTAGTACACCATGAAATTCTCTGCTCAATCTTTCCATTTGATACATTTTCAGTGGAGATAAAACTGTGTTGAAAATGTAGGAGGAAAGTTTGAGTAGAGTGAAGTTCCCACCTGCATGTAAATGTCCGGTGCTTTCAAAGGTGAATTCTAGTCAGAGCGCCCCCTTTCCCCTGTCTCTTATGACCTGTGCATCTATACGACAGAAATGTGCTGCTATAGTGACTCCACGGTACATTGTCTCGTATTTTTGTTTTATCTGGGGGTTAAGGTTCTCCTGGAATAAATATACAGCTCTAACCTCTTTGATCTTAGTTTTTTTGCTTCTTTCCTGACTTTTGTTCTTTTATGTATTTTGATGTTTATTGTCAGCATGTTGTATCTCTATGCATTTTGATCTTACATGAAGTCAGCATCAAGCAAGAATAAGTCAGTTATTTGGCTTGATTTGATTTCTCTAGTATGATTGAAGCTAATTTCCATGTTGTATTCTGTTGTGCAGTTTTGTTGTTCCGTGTAACCATGGTAACTAGCTTGAAGATTGAATACTATTGAAACTATACTTTTAAGCATGAATTTTGTCATTTAACTTAGACCTTAGAAATAGGGTTTATGAGAGTGAAATATTACATAATATCAAACACAAATTTTATATCTTAAAACATTTTTATAGATATTTACTAATTTTGTTTTATATTTAGACACACAGGTAAGCGTAAGGTCAAGAATATGGAAGAATGATGAATAGATATAAACGAAAGAATTTGCAATTTATAAATTGAGCAAGGACTCAACTAATGGAGAAGTTATTATTGCAGAGAAGAAAGAAGTTTTAATGGAAATTCATTTTTTATTTGCCAGTAGAGAATTTTGTATTGAATTCTGAATGAAAAATAGAGGACATCTCAAAAGTGGGGCACAAAAAAAAAAAAAAAAATCAAGGAATCCCTAAAAACCATTTGATTTTAAAGCCCCTGCAAGCACTCTGGGTTCTCTGTGAACTTCAGAAAAGCACCAACTCTTATCTTGCCATTCATTCTGGTCCAAATCACACAGAAAAAAAAATGTTGAGTCATCCTCCAAAAATGAGAAATATAGAAATATTTTGTGCTTCTTCTATATGGTCATTGGTGTTTTGTCAATAATGTGTAATGCCTTCATAATTTGATTGTTATTATAAATGGTTAATATTTTGATTTTAATCTTGCAGTAAGAAAAGGGGAGGATATAATTAGGTGGATTTTCAATTGAACATAGTTTATTGTAATAAATATATACAATGGGATTTGGCACAAGTTCTTAAAACTTATTTCGCCCTCTTCCTACATGAAAAGTTTATAAAGTTCTAAGCTACATGTGTTACACAGTTTTAGAAAAAAAAATAAACTCGCAACATAAATTTATAAACTGCAAGAAAAAATTCTTCTATATAGTCATGGGTGTTTTGTCAATAATGTGTTATGCCTTCATAATGTAATTGTTCTTGTTAATGGATAATATTTTAATCTTGCAGTCAGAAAAGGGGAGGATATAGTTAAGTGGGACAGTTAAAAGGAGAAATATTTTAAGAATCAGCATTGTTTGAGGTGATGATGGGATGGATGAACAGAGAAAATAGATATAAAAAAGTATACAACAGTTCAGCCTTTTAAAAGACTGTGTACCATATTAGCTCACCTGAGTTGAAAACTCAAGTGAGCTTTTCTGATCACCTTTTGTCCATCTGTTAACGTCACATTTTCAACTTCTCAAGAGCCACTTGGCCAATTTTGGAAATTTAACTTTATATGTACAAAGCATCCTTACATGAAGGAGAATTTCTAAAATGAAGGACCAAGCCTTCTTACAAAGGGAGATAATCAAGAAAATCCAAAATAGGGTGGGGTCACTAAGACTCGTTTATTCAGAAACTACTTAGCAAAAAAGTTTAGTGTTACATGGAAACGTCCTGGGAAAGTATAAAATCTCGAAAAAAAATGTTTGTTTCCGCTTTCCCGACCGACCCTAATTTATAGTGCCAACCCTAAATATTTTTTTAATGCTTTTGTCCCATGTCCTGATGATATGCAAGATTTCACCCAGGGAATTATAGTCTCCAACTTTGCAAGCTTTTCAAGACAGAAAGAAGTTTGGGTCACCTTTCTATTATAAGTTTAAGTCACAGCTTTACATTGAAATATAATGGGAAAATCTCTCCAAAAACTACTTAGTCAGAAAATTTAATGTAAATGTGTTTTTTTTAGTGTGTACGATAGATAGCAGAAATTAATTTTTGAAGAAGTTAGGGTAGATTTGATTTAGAGCATTTCTTAATGTTCTCGTTCATATATATGCAAGACATTTAGTGTTGAACTTGAATTAGCAGAGGTTTCATTCAGCCAAAAATACTAAAAAGAATACACAGCCAATTGTAAACTGTTAACAGTAACTTACGTGAGAAGGCATTTTGGGGTCGTGCATAGTCTAATTGTTCAAATTATAGAAGGTAATTGAGCTAATTGCGCAAATTACCCTGGGTGTAGGGTCTGACCATGATGGGATTAAAAGTTTCACATTGGAATGTAATGGGCAAATTTTGAAAAATCTTCAAAACCTGGGTCAGAAAGCTTCCTGGGGCAGTGTAGATTATAAATTGTTCAAATCATGACTCTGCAGGGCCACACGGGTAACATCAGGGCTACAGTAACTCAAGTGAGCATTTTGGTCCATAGGTCTCTTGTTTGATACATATTTTTTGGTTATGATAGGTCAGAAAAGATTCGACTATTCATGCTATTTTAATCATTATTATTATGTGCTGTTTCGCGGGTAAATGCTACAAAACTCACTTAAAAAATTTATATAGGAAACCCATACACAAACGTGGGTGTCACTGAATGTTTTTTTGAAATTAAGAAAACTTTAAAAAATATTATTTATTTCACAACATTAGACACAGTGTAATTTTATTTCTATCATCAGTGAGGATTTCTTTTTTGAAGTTGGTGGTTGGGATAGGGTTGGAATTGGGAGGGGGACCATTATGTTTAGTGGCTGACCAGTCAACTAAGGATTGTTGATGTAAAGTCAGTATTGTAGTAAATGTCATGGCTTAATACTTAGAATTTCGGAAAAGATTTTCTGTCATAAATTTTAAAAAAGAGTTGCACATGTATGTCATTAAATCAAATGGAAGAAAATTGGAACTCTGTTTCATAGTATTGTTGTTACAGGAGTATAGAAAATTTTACAATTTTGAACAAGAAGAATGCTGGGAATAGTTTAAGGAATATTTTAAGTTTGTTTCAAATGATATTTTTAAAACAAGTATAAATATTTTCATCAAATTTTGCCAAAAATTGCAGAAACATATAAAAATGTCTAGATAAAACACCGTATATTTTTAGCTTTTATTTCAAACAGCATTAAATGTTGCTGGTTTTTTAATGCCCAAAAAAATGTATAGTGTTTTATTAAAAAAAAAAAACAATTTCACATTGTATAAGTTTGGAATTTTTTAAAAGTATTTTATTTACACTTTTAATTTAAAGATAAAAGCATATTTATTGCAATGATTATATCTGGTAAAGTATGTAGGAGGTAAAAATGGTTAAAGTGATTAAATTTATGCAATAAAACAATATAAGAGCCAGTATATGTCAAGATAATTGCACACTTATCCAAACTACTGTGCTTCATAAGAAGAATCTCAAAAAATAAAATATTAATGTCTGGGGTGACCTGTTGAATTTCCCACTGGCTTGCTGCACTAACATACTTGTTCCTTTAAAAACAATGTTTTAAAATTGGATAGCAGTATGATCATTTTTTATGCTAAGTGTCAAATCCAATGGTTTTATTGTGTCTTTTAAGAGGCCTAGAAATTCATTTTCTAACTTATGTAAAAGTGTTCTGGTGGTTTGTTTATTGTGGTGTTGCTGTTGTATTGAATCACTTGATGATAAATAAATTAAAATGGTGGATGGTTTTCCTTCAAGATGCTTTTAAGGTACCATGGTGAAGTTTGCTCGAGAAGTGCAAAAGGCGGATCAAAACTTTAAGATTTTGTTTCGTGAAGAACATTCTGAAAAAAAGTTCCATCATTTGTCCTACTGTTCCTTCCTGTTCAGGATTTGTAGAACATTCCATCTTGAAGACCTACTAACAGTACTAAAATTCTAACATAAAATGCCCTCTTGTAGATGTCAAACTCATATTTATTCTAGACTATTCAGTTATGTAATTAAGAACATCTAAATAACATGCTGAAACTGGGAGTATAAGTAGTGACATCGTAATTAGGATTAGAAGTGTGATTTTGCTATCAACAGTTTTGATTGGCCTGTTTTCTTTGTGTCCTGCAGTTTGATTGGTCTGAAACTCACAAGTTATTTTGTGTGCAGCACTAACCCCTATCTGAGCACATCTTGAGTGGTGGATCATTAGTGCACTCAACTAATAGATTTTTATCAGGATAAAATACAGAAATAGGAGAGATTGAAGAAAGTAATGGAAATGTCACTGGCATTTTCTTCTGGGTCTTTGTCATAAATTGAATTCCCTTACAATATTTGTAAAGTAAAAACTTTTTTTCATCGAAAATTATTTGCAAAAATATTTTGCAACTTTTCTTTTATATTGTTTAATTAAATTTATAAAATTATCTATTTAAAGTTATAATTGACTTGGAATCTTACTATTAGTAGACTTGCAGTTTTGGCACTATTGTATGTTACAGAAGGCAAGGGTGGAAAAGATCTGGATAACCCACCCTCTGTTGAAGAGGAAGATTCCATGGACTCGTCAATCGATGAGAGACCAGAGGAGGGGGCAGTGAGTGGCAAGTGAGTCTGAGAAAGGAGATGAGGACAGGGACAGAGACCAGCAAATAGACAGAGATACAGAGACAGTGACTGGCAAATCAGATTACAAGGGAGAGACGATGGATCTGGTTGTCATGTGCTGCCAGAACAGTGTACATATATTACACAATTCATGTAGTGCCCAATGTTGTTCAGTTTTCTTGACAAGGTGCTGTATTTGAAGAATTAGGACTTTATTAATGCATATATCCCTATAGTTATCTAGGTCACTTATTCCTATTTGTTCATGTCCATTGTCATACAATGTACAATGTGCATTTCTTAAATTTTTGTAAGTAATTCTATCTCTGAAATGGTTAAACATTTCAACCAGTGTTGACCAAATAACAATAGATGAAGGGAACTAGACATGTTAACGATATGTTTATAGCAATGAGTTATCTTATTAGTAAAATTCTTGTGAATTGTTCAGGCTTTAGCTTGGTGCTATGTTGGCCACATAGAGAGACTAAATATAATATGAATATCTTTACTGATAAGCCTCTAGTATATATATTGTAGTAGAAAGAATACTGTGCATTGATGTAATGAACACACTCGCCACACTAGAAGATCCTTTTGGTCCAGGATGAAGCCATTTAGTATTTGAACTTATGCTCAGGTTGGGGATAAATTGGTTTGGTACTGTGTATATATTAGACTGTTAAACACATGAGCTTTTAAAAACTGGGTATCCATCAAAGACCAAGAATCTCTTATGTAAAGTATGTCAGTGTGAAAGTTTGGAAATAAATGTTGAAAAATCTTAATAATATTTTAGCGTTGTTCTGTATGTAAAATTGAAGTTGTGCATAATTTTTATGTTCAGAAAGCTTATATAATTCACATGATGTCATACATTAAAGATATGTAAAGCAGCTTTGACTATCTGTTTTATCAATTTATCGGTCAGTGGTCTGCCTCACTTTAAAAATGATCTAACTCAGCTCTTGAAAAAACTAATTAGCTGTGAGATTTAAACACCACATGCAGGTGACAGCGGAGAATTACCATTTAAATAAGGAAGATTGGGGATGGAAAACTCTGTCCTACAGTTAAGGTATTCGTTGCATAGCTCATCGGTAAAACGTCCAAATATGAAACAGATATTTTGTTAGTTCTATGGCAAATGACATTGTTTACAGTAGGATGATATACAGTATATATATCGAAAATTTGTAACCCTCATTTAAAGTATATAGTGGTCAGACAAATTGAAATGTTTGTAAAAAGGAAGTGGGTGAAATAATGGAAAGTTTAGGAATCATTTTATCTGCTTTAAAATGTGACCATGTTTCAATAAAATTTATACAATGAACCTAGAAACTTCATGGGAATGGATTTCTGTCTTATGGATGTTTATTTGTAAATTTTTTTTTTCAATTAAAAGGTGTCATGAAAGATAAAATATTTATCCTGGATACATTTACATGTAATAGAATATAATAGAAGTCTAACACTAAATAATTTTTGTGCTCAGTTTTCAAATGCACTGAAAATATTGATTGTAACAGAACGATCGAAGTTGCTATTTTTTTTTTCTTTAATATATTCAATATTTTTTCATCAGTGTAACTTTGTAGTTGCAAGTTCATTTATGTTTATTTCTATATTTGGGAACGTTAGCACTATAAATGACAAAATGTGAACGCATTGCAGTATAAAACAATGTAAATAATTTATGAAACATAATTTTGCTGTTCAAGGAGTATTTTTTACTACCAATTCAAAAATTTCAAGCAAAAAGAAAAAAAATCTGTATTCGAACCTAAAATACTGCGTCGACATGGCTCGAATCCAGCGACAAACCAATGTAGCTAACGCGGGAGATTAAACGTAGCTAGTGTTTAAATATTTAAATTCAAAGCCCTATTTAATTGGACTTTGTAAATTTTCTACAGAAAATGAATAGAAAAGGTTCAGATTTTGGTATTTCTGGGTCGTCTCTCCATTTTTCAAACAACTGGAATAAATTTTACGGTTAAAAATACACTGATAACGCATTTAAAATTCATGGAGAGAAGACCCAGAAACAACAAAATTAATGAAAAAAGGCTATAAAAGAGTCGATTTTTGCATCATTTGACTCGTACGGCTATATTCAGGTACATATTCAAATAAAATTAAATAAACACATTTAACTGATTATTTGCCCATTTTACATTCACCTAAGTGTACAACATAGTCATTGGCTAGGTTTTGAGGAAAATGTATAAATCAATGATAATTTTTTATTCTTTTTATGAGCCACTATTTCTGCCGAATCGCCATCTAAAGCGCCCACTTTCTTTATATGGTTCCCGTTATTTATTTCAAACCTTTGACCCAACATCTCCTTTTGAAAGAACCTTTCGTTTCCAAAATATAAATTGGTCCCCATAGTGTATTTTCAATTCCATAGAAAATGTTTGAAACTGAAAAGGTCACAAGGGCCATAACACTCATCTGAGTCGTTCAGTATCAGAGTTTTTTCCTAATAAATGTATTAGATAGCATATCATGACACCCACCGTATACACAGGGGCCGTGATGAATCTACACTTCCAGATGGTGCTTCCACACAATTATCATTCAACAATTTTTACACAATATTATAAAATAGAACAAAAACATGCAACAAATTTAACTACAGACTATAACATCTATCTACATCCTACAAGACAATGTTTCCTGATTCATAGATCATCAAAAATTGTTATGGAGCTTACTATCTACATAAATTATGCAAATTAAAAGAAAAATATTACAGGGGAAATCACATTTTTATTTCAACACTTAACTTAATTGTATAGTATTGAAAAATACAATTCAACATAATGTGCTGCTTTTGAGAAGAGGACTTTTAAGATATTGTTCCTGTATAATCCTTATTGTGGCCCCATTATATCACAATAACTACAATCTGAACAGTTACATTGTGAGTTACTATTAATGAAACATTTAGATATAACAAACAGTATTCAAGATCAAAAATCCATAAAACAATGCAAATTAGGAGCATAGCAAACTCGGACCTCTAAATACCAGAGGTGGGATCAGGTGCCATGGAGTAGTGAGCATCCCCTGCCGACCGGTCACACCCGCCGTGTGATCCTAGTCATTATCGGGAATAACGAAAAAATCCACCGTCAATTTAGTGATATGGACTAATAAGTATGAAAAACGTCAGTCAGCATTTGACTCAATGATAAATTGTATTTGCTGACTAGGTCATAGTATCGACCATAGAACTTACAAAATGATTACTCTTAAGATAGGATTCTTCTCTGGTTTCTGACTAGGTAAAATATTCAAAGTACATTTGCCTATATGTCTTAAATATTTAGGTGTAAGAGATTTAAAAGACCATATTTTTATTTCCTCATCACAAATGTACACCTTAAAATAGAAATGCTAATCCACATTTGAAAACTATCAGGGACTATATTTTTGGCGGAATGTCGGCGTATGAAAATATCTTCTTTTCTGCTTCTCAAAATTATTATAGAACAATGTATTTAGTTAGAATTTTTACACAATCAAAGACTCAAAGAACTTTTCAAATGAGAGTTGAATTAATAATAATGGACTTAAGTTCCTAATTATATCAAATAAATATGATTTTTTTTCAAATAAACTAGAACTATGTTGGCTTTTATAAGCTTCCAATCTGAGTACAGATTTGAGCCAAAAATCCGTAAAAAAGTATTTTTTCTCTCTTACTAAACGATAAAAATTTTTTGTTTTTGTATCATTTTGTATCTGTATGTAACAACTTTACTTTAATGTAAGCTTCCTCAGCACCCTGTCAAATGCCAATCAGCTTACAATGTTTCCACCCCGTGTAAATTTAGTTAATTAAATTTTATCAGGACTTTTCATGACATCTGTCCACATATAAAAAAGGGGTTGGGGGAATCCTCGGCCCGTCGCATGTATTTAAACACTCTTAATAATTTACTTCACATCCTTGTAAATCATGACCAAGTTCCATTTCTCGTTTCAAATATTTCATTTAACAAAAACTTCAATGAAATATAACAAAACAGTCAGTACATCTATGAGTATAAGTCCAATTAAGCTATAGTGTAGATAACGCCCATTTCGTAGGTATAATAAGTTATAATAAATTTATAATAATAAAGTTATTATAATAAATTTGACATCTCTGGCCTAATAAAATACAGTGGATTGCGGTGTCCGTGTGGTGGAATTATACGCTACTTAATTTGTATTAAAGTTTACATTATTTTCTCATACCTAAGTCGCTCGTAATTTACAGTCAGTGATGTTGAAGACGTTATACTATTATGATCTGACGATCGTTATGATGAAACTGACGTTTGCTGCTCGTATATATAACCTTCTGTAATGGTCACGTGATCAAAACAAACCAATAAATAGTTGTCCTTTCTGGAGCCGCCAGAAATACTTTACATACATCTTGTGCAATACAAAGAAAATAACATCGCTAAAAATGTCCTTTCTACATTGTGCAAGTGAGGTTGGAGCTATAAATTCTATTCGATATACATAATAAAATAAGTTCAGCAAACAATCTGTAATAAAACGGACACACACAATCCATGGCGTAGTAATACCGAACAATATTGCACACACATAAGTATTACGCTACACATTCAAGTTCCAAAACATTTCGTCAAATAAAACATAATTAAATGACAGTACTGCAATAAAATGACACTTAGGTACCAATTATAAGCATGTGATGACACAGGCAGTGTTATTTTGATCTAATTAATTGTAAAATACAATGTTTATGTCACATGACTATTTTCTTCGTAAGAAAGATGGCAGGCGCCCAGTTAATTTACAACACATGTGATAATGCTGAAATAAGTAAGTAAATTACAGTCGTAATATGGTAGATAATGATGAAATACTGACATATAACATCTTAGTATCACTGTCCATTACTGTCTGTTCAACAATACTTCACTAGATCGTTTAGTAACACAAAAACAACATTTGTTATTTTACATATCAATGTCGAAGTGCAATGTGTATTGCATCAACAATTCAAGTAAATAATAAGATAATGAAATAACATGAACAATAAAACATTTCTAATAAATTTACAATTGGATTCTACTTTACTTCACTAAAAACACTCCACCATCAGCCTGCGATTAATATGCAAAATTCTAAAGTCCAACCCCCATGCATATAACAATAATGTGAAAATGAGAAAAAAAATTAAATGTAGGAAGCATATAAAAATAAATAATATATCTTTTTAAAAAATAAGAAATGTAGAGAAAATTTGAATTAGTTAATATCCATTTTTGTTAAATTATTATGTGAATTAGGTAATATCAACTTTTAGGCCCTTTATGGTACAGCTGTAGTATCTTTTTGTGCAAAAAGAAAAACATTCAATATTTTAAAATACAAGTAGAGATCGCATAATTTGCAATGGTAATTTTTTATTATTAATGTCCAGGAAAAGGGTAATGACCTTGACCTGACCTTGTCTCTAATATAAAACGGTCAAATTTAATTTCAATGATACCATCACTTAGTGATAATGTCTTTTTGATTCTGTGAAAATTTCATTTTTTTTTTAAATACAAGAAATATGAGAAGAATCCTACCTGAACGAGACTGCTGATATTCTTGTTTCATCAACTTGTTTGTCAATAATTTACATAATTTTAGACTTTGTTCATACGTATAGAGAAAGTCCTTGCGTAGAAAATGAATTTAAAAGAACTTATTGCAAGTGATATATATTGCTGCATAAGTAAGGGAAATTGATGATTTAACAGTTAAAGTCATCACGTTTATCAAAAAGCTTGGTTGTTTTTTTTCTGGTCCAGTGATTCTAGAGTTTTTTTAAAAAAGATTTTTTTCCCCAGGATATTCAAACTTAAATTTCTCTGGTTTCACTGCCAAATGTTCATAAGATTTTTAATTTTTTAGCTAAAAGTGAAGGAGGAATTATTCACATAAAGAGTTACGAGGAGATGCACGTATATTTGCGTATGTACGTAGTAATAATAATTGCGCAAAACTTGATATTTATATTAAATTCGATATGTATTTTCCAAAACCTCTGTGTAAAACCTCTGAGCCATTGGAAAATTCATGTGAAAACCTCATTACATTAAAATTTTATTTTTCCTACATATTTATTTCAGTGTAAAACTTGGATTACTTCATTATGTCCATGGAAACATCCCCGGTGGTTTGATTTCAAATTTGTTCAAATCTACTTTGACCTCAGGATGCTTTAACATTAAGTAAGTTTATTTAATTATTGTGTTTCATTTGTTTAATATTTTTTATGACACTTTTCTGATTTTTGTCTTTTCTATGTTATCTCCTCTCTTCATCACTTCCTAAATATATTTGGCTCTTCATTTTAATAATATAAATTTGCCCTTTACCCAAGGGTCTTTGTACCAAAATTGGTTCAATTGCCCAGTGGGTTTTGAGAAGAAGTTGAAAATGTGAAAAGTATATTGCTTAAATAATATTTTGATACTTCAATTTTCTTTGAAAAGTTAGCCATAAAGTTAGACATAAAAAAGGAGAATTTTTACAGGTATTAAAAATTTCGTGTGAGCTAAAAATATATGAAGTGATATTCTTAGCAAGTATAGAAATTCTAATACCTGCATATGACGTATTTTACCTTTTGAATTTTTACCGGCTTTTGGCCATATATTGCTGCCCCTTTTACTACAACCATATTGGAATCTTCAGGGACTATGACGTGACACGTAGGGAAGGACTTTTTTATCATGTCTTGGAGTATGGTGGATCTTGAGAAAAACCCAACAAGAATAATGCTTCCAGTTTTTGAAAGCCCTGAATCAGCCATAGCTTTATTCAGAAGCTGAACAATGTTGGCTCCTGCTTCTTTGAACAAATTGTGGAATATTTCCGGCATAATCCTACATTTGCCATGATTGAAAGACATTTTATCCGAAAATATTGTTTGTTGAAGTGCCTCATTCAAAGTCTTTCCAGTAGTCTTTTCAAATGCAGTAATTAAAGATGGTGGTATGTTGATGTTCAGTGGCTTTTCCTCCTTTATGTCAACTGTCATTTTCCTGCGTAGTTCATTAACTATTTCAAAATATTCTAAACGATTATTCCTATAAAAGTCGTCAAATACTGATTCCCCTACAATCTCAATGATCATAGCCTCGAAATCGTTCTGAACTTGGCAAGCTGCCAACACATTTGAGAAACTATTATAGACAATCTTAATGACACCATCCCTAACTTCTAACACAGAAATACTGACGTTGTCGTCTGGAAAGAAAAACAATTGTTTTTGAAAAAGACAAATTGTTACTATAATTGCTTTAGCTCCATAACTAAGAGCACTAAAACATTGTGTCAATGACGAATGTAATAAAAAACATTTCAAATACCTTCACACTCTAAAACTATGCTTTGTTTTCCTCCGGCAAAAACATCCACCTCTTTGCTAGAAGTGGTTTTATATAAACGGTGATACTCCTTGCAGTAGTAAAGGACCGAAGTGGCCTCAGGAATGATATACACTTTTTCTAATCCGGCCTGCAAAAGAAATTATTATGTTCCAATTACAGCGTACTAGTCCAGGTAGACCATTTTAAAATTGCATTCACATGTGTAAGGATGAATAACCTTTTCTTTACTGTTGATGAGCATTTTTAAAAAGATATACACGTATTAACTCTCAAAAGATCAAAATTTAAATAAATTGTTAAAAATAATAATATATTTTAAGTTTCGGCAATGTATAAATTCAACCTTTTTTTAATTTATTGACTATCAGAATAAAAAATGACAAGGCAAAATGTAAGTAAAACGTATAAGTGTTTTCATTATTTCTTTAGATGTTTTATCTATTTGGGGGTATAATAAAGCGTTCCAGTTGATGAAAACAAGGTAGCTTTGAGTTCCAATGGTCTCTTGTGTCATTTTTACCTTTCTTGCCGATTTTTTGAAAAAATTGTACGTATCCTTTGTTGCCGCAGAGGGTACCGTAAACACAATTTTGCTTGGTTCAATTGGCAGTTTCCTGAGTAGGAAAGCTATGACCTGAGTCATGATGTCAGAGGACAATACCAGGACGCCATTTTCGGCTGTTAAATGCGATGGAACCTACAATGTATATATAAAAATACGAGAAAAGGTGAACGACATCATCTCATGAGCACAATTTCTTCGTTAAAACCACGCTGATTGTAAGCACAAGTGCTCTGAACAACCGGTATTTATTAAAAGGATGCTAGCGTTCCTCATCGACAATATTAATGTAGTTTTCAAAGATCAAGTTTTCTAACAAACTGTTGGAATTTGAGAGGCATTTATTGTTCTCCTTTATTAGTTGACCAATTTTTGTATTGTTTTTATCTTCCATTGATTGATTTTATATTGTTTAAGTCCCTCTAAAGAATGTTTCACTCATATGGAGACGCCAAGTTTATCGAGAGTCTACCATCATGGTATTTTTTAGTGGACCGTATCCAAATACAGGTACATAAGTACTAATTGTTAGTCCATTATTTATTTCCCCTCGGATAATCCTCAGGGATATTACATGTATGTACAGTCTTCTGATTCCCAGTCTTGGTATAAACCCAATAGCTCATATACCAAATTGAAAGAATGTAAAGTTTCTATTACAGATATATTGGATAATTCCTTTTCCGATCCCATGTCTTCTGTTTCAAAATGTTCTGTGCGAAACTGTAAAACCTGTGACATTTTGATAACTGACACTTCTTTCACCAGTAATCTTACTGGACAGAGTTTCTATACCAAAACTTGGGAAAATCTGAACTGCAAATCATCTAATATTGTCTATGGAGTAGAATGTAATCTGTGTGGGCTTGTTTATGTCGGTGAAACCAAGGGATCGTTTAACAAAAGAATATCAGGTCATCGATTTCAAATAAATCATGGTGGTCAGCAGCTTTTATACAAACATTTTAATTCACCTGATCATTCTATTTTATCAATGAAAGATTTACATGATTTATCACCACACAAATAGTCCGTCGCTGAGTACACCTTTCCGTAGACAACGAGAAGAATTTTGGATTAGAAAACTAGGGACAGCCTTTCCCTTTGGATGTAATGATAATGTCGATAGTGTTGGAAATCTTTTCAGTCCGCAGTGTAATAATGTTCATGTGATGGGACTTTTTAACCATACTCAGAGACGTAAGCGTAGTAATGGGCATCGTTCGTACAATAAACCTGCAATACACGATGTCTCTTTTGATTCATTACTACCTTATGTAAATCAACAGTTAGGTCTACATCATATTTGAACAAAACTTTACTCTGTCCCTTTGAAACTTTTAGATAGTCTTCTTGAAAAGGCCAAGGAACGTCCAAGTTTTGATTCCTCGTCACCTGAATATAGGCTGGAATCTGTGATTATGGATATTGCATATCATAGGCTTTTTATGTTCTTGTTCGCCCTATAACTATAGTCCTGCTGGACACGTTATAACAGGTGACGTAAATATAGTTAGTAATGAGGAGCTTAGATCATTTATTTTAAAAGGTCCTAAATATAGGGAACCCCGATTCTTCAACTGGCGTCGGAATTTCATAAATATTATGGATTCTGTTGAAAATTACGCCAGACGGTGGGCCAGATATGAAAAAGAAGACGCTGACACCTTGTCAGAATGGATAAAATGTATTAGATCTCTGTTGAAGTCGCGTATTAGGAGATTGAAGGGCAAAATAAAAACCATCTATCCTTCTGTGTTCAATAAACCTGAAGTTAAAAAAGAATTAGATATATTACATGATCAGTACGTACTGGTTACTGCTGACAAAGCAGGTAACAACATTGTCTTCGTTTGTAAGGTTCATTACGTTAATTGCATTCTAGAAGAACTTGGATTTAATTCTACAAATGCTAATCCTACTTATACTCATACTTCCCTTTCTAAGGAAGAAATTCTTCAAAATCACCTGTCAGTTTTGAATACTTTTAATATTCCACAGAGCCAAAATGAATTTGAACTACCATATATTATATATTGGATTCCGAAACTTCATAAGAATCCTTACAAACAAAGAAACATTGCAGGTTCCAATAAATGTTCAACCAAGCCTCTTTCGTTACTCCTCACTAAGATATTGAAGGTAGTGAAGGAAAAACTTCAAGAGTACTGTGCAACTATATATATTGGTGTGAATCAGATGTGGATGCTAAAAAATTCTAAAGAACTCTTGGACAATTTGAAATCACAAGACTTTACAAAAATCAACAGCTTAAAAAGTTACAACTTTTCAACTTTATACACAACAATTCCCCACGACAAATTAAAATCCAGGCTTTTTGATATCATTGTCAGCTGTTTCTTCAATAAATTCGTAAATTTACTTACCTCTTCATTGGTCATTTGCAAAATTATTTTATTAAAAAAGATTCTGATTGCACACATAAGTATTCTGAAGTTGACATCAAGAAGATTCTTGAGTCTCTGATTGACAATATCTATGTGGTTTTTGGAGACCAGGTATTCCAACAATCTATTGGAATTCCCATGGGTACAAATTGCGCTCCGTTATTAGCAGACTTATTTTTATATTCATATGAAGCAGAATTTATGTAAAATCTTATGCATGAAAAGAAGTAACACTTGCTGTGGCCTTCAACTCGACATTTAGGTATATCAACGACGTATTGTCAATTAACAATGGTAATTTTCATTCCTACGTCGATACGATATATCCTGGTGAGCTTGAAATAAAAGATACCACAGAGTCTGACACTTCTGTTTCATACTTGGATATTTTACTTGAAGAAGACGCTAATGGTAATGTAACAACCAAACTATATGATAAACGTGATGACTTTAACTTTTCTATCGTCAACATCCCTTACTTATGCAGCAATATACCTTCATCACCTGCATACGGAGTATATATATCTCAGTTGATTCGATACGCAAGAGCAAGCTCTACGTATGGACAATTTCTGAAACGTGGTAAATTATTGACAAGCAAGTTGATGAAACAAGAATATCAGCAGTCTCGTTTAAAGTCATCATTTCGTAAGTTCTATGGTCGATACAATGACCTTGTCAGCAAATACAATTTATCATTGAGTCAAAGACGTTTTTCATACCAATTGTTAGTCCATTATTTATACACTGAATTGACGACGGATTTTTCCGTTATTTCCTGATCATGACAAGGAGCACACGGCGGGTGGGACCGGTCAGCAGGGGATGCTTACTCCTCCATGGCACCTGATCCCACCTCTGATGTTTCGGGATCCTTGTTTGCTCTGCTCTTATTTTGTATTGTTTTATGGACATTGAGATTGAATACTGTTCGTTATCTCCATATCCTTCCTTCCACTGAATTGACGACGGATTTTTTCGTTATTTCCCGATCATGACAAAGAGCACACGCACGGTGGATGTGAACGGTCGGCAGGGGAAGCTCACTCCTTCATGGTACCTGATCCCCCCTCTGATGTTTTGAGGGCCGTTTTTGCTCTGCTCCTATTTTGTATTGTTTTATGGACTTTTGACCTTGAGTGCTGTTCTTATCTCCATATGTTTCATTACTATAAGATTATAAAGGAAAATGCCAATTTTTCGCACTTTAAAGCAAATTATACAGATATTACAATAGATTTTTTGCTCAAACTATAAAATATGATGAGTAATACTATTTTGTATATTACATGTAAGAAACACAAAATTCTACCGTCTTGTTTCCGTAGAGGGGCATCTCAAAAGTAATTAGTTTTCCTTGTTTTTATGCAGCACTACAGAATATGACAGAAACAAAGGATTTAAACAAAACAAGTATAAAAATGAGGTAGAGAATATCAAATTCCTTTGTTTTAGATTTTAAAAGCGTATGTTTCAAACTTTTTTCTTCTATAACATTTTTAGAGCTTCAGTTTATCATATCGTCAAAGGCACATTTTTATGAAGTTTATCTACCTATCAGTTAAAAAATTATTTAAAAAATCAGTTTAACAAAATTGTACGAGGGTTGTTCCCCAAAAAACCACAAGGTTATTCAACCAAAACTAATCATTTTTTACATGCTGATAGAAAATCATCTTTAAGATATTTTGACAAAATTTTAAAGACCTATGATGCTAAATGCATATATATAAATAAACATCATTTAAATGTTTATTATTGGTGGCCGGGGCACGATAATTTTGAGACTTTTACAAACAGTATTGTCAATAAAGTTATTGTTGTTAATCATGCTATTCAACAATATAATGTCAAAAATTTCACCTACATAAATGCTGTATAATTTGGTGTACTCGTATTCAAAATTTCATTTACATGTATTTGACATTATTAATGACAAACATATGACGATATTTGCCAAAGCGCTTTGAATTAGACAATGTCAAATATGGTGACGTAATTATACTTTTAAAACCTGTAATTTCTTAATTTTGCATTAAGTGAAAACATGCATTTTTTAAACAGTAAATATGCCTCCTTTTACATGTTTTACTATGATGCGCAAAACATTGCGCAATGGAAACACCATTCGGCCCCCTCAAGAAGAGTAATATACCTGAATTCCGTTACAGAACAGATCTTGTATGAATTCTCGAAAAACTAGAAGATGGTTGTTGGTTTTTTCTTGTATTTCTTTTTCCGCTTCAAATCCAAATGCTTGAAGTTTCTTATCAGAACCGAACAGGGCGATTGTAGGAGTCTCTAAAAATAACAAACTCTTTGTGGAGTCTGTCCACTGGGCACTCACAAAAGCCGGATCTTCAATGGATCGTCTATTCCATGCATATGTCGTATAATTTGTACCTATGCGAATTCCCACTGCGACGTTACAGTCAACCATTTTCTTTTAAATTTCTGCGTTCAAACATCATTTTGTAATTATCAAATGAATGTGAATAATATTGTGTTAATACAAACAATGTTAAGGTTTTTATAATCCTCAGGAAATAGAAGTCACATCAACAATACTGAAACAATGTGTTTTGCAATTTTTGAAATATAAAACGAAACTAGATTTTTTACAAACTTAAAAAATATGCATAGATTTAAAGAAAAATGTTGAAATAAAATGGTATAATTGCAATATATAACGTTTCCCTCACTCATTTGACTTCTTTTTGTTAATGATGAAATATAATAGATAAAATATGGAATTTATTTCAAATGAGACTTACGTTTTGGAATATGTCCAATTTGAGCGAATGCCAATATCGATCGTGATCAATTCTACACCGATCAATTCTAAACGGGAATAGAGATCAGCCGGTGAAATAGGGCCATAAAATAGGGCGGAGAAAATTACATTGGTCAAACAGGGAATAAAATATCCGACCGTGTTAGAGTACACAAACAGCAGATAAGGGACCCTTCCGTAAGAAATACTCCGTGCAGCGAACATTTTGAACAATGCGGTAAAGGACGTTTTAGTATCTTTCCGTTTTATAAAGTTACTGAGGAAAGTGAACAGTTACGGCGGGCCAAAGAACAATATTTCATTGATAAATTTAAGCCTAAACTAAACAGATAAATGTTCTGATTTAATCAATGACTGTTAATATTGTTTTTAAAATTTATTAATTATTGATTGTTATTGTGTAAATATGTATCATTTACAGTGTCAAGTCTATTTAATTTGGCGCTTTCTACGGACATATTTTGTGTTTTAACGTTGTCCTTTAATTATGACGTCATAATAACGACGTTATCATGTCATGTTGCTATTGTTATTCAAAATCCACTGAAGAGCCGAATGGCGAAAGCGCTTTGGAATAAAATGTGATCTCTCTTCCAAACTCTGGATTATTTTTCTATATATATATATATATATATATATATATATATATATATATATATATATATATATATATATATATATATATATATATATAAATTTTGAGTAGTTCAAGAAATATATCAATTTAAATTTTTGTCGTAAATATGTTGCTGTTTTAGCAGATGATTTTGTAAATTTATACATTTTCATCGTTTAATTATAGTCAACGACATTGGAATAAAAACATTTACTAACAGATATCAATGACTTAATACGTGACTGTTTAATTAACCCAAAGCTCTTAGATGACACGGACGACATTATAGTCAATGGAATTCTTTCCACAATGTGTCTGATAAACAACTGTATAATTAAGTTAATTTTTCAGTGTTCTCTTTGTCGAATCTATTTTAAAGTATAAATTAATTTTTCAGGGCCTGCATTTAAGGTGCATCATTTATCAGCTCCGAGAAAGATCTTGTAGTGTATAGTTCACTTTTATTTATTGATATGATTTAATAATAAACAAAAATATTTTTCAAAATCCATACTATACTTTTATTAAGATGAAACGATCAAATAACAACTCAAATTGAACACTTTAAAATTCCAACAAAGAATGGGTATAGCAATGACAATTATGTTGACTTACCTTCGGTACCTATTCAATCATAAGAAGCTTGAATACTGTTCATCATACACCATTATTTCTAATAATGAGCTTAATAATAAATGAGTGCACAAATGTCAAATCAATGACGACCGAGAAATAAATGGGCAAATCCAGAAAATTCATTTTTTTTTTTTAGCAGAATGGATTGGAAATGAATATATGAAGATATTTTTGAAATTTCATATTCAAGTACATGTTTGTAGAAATTATCCATATTGTTCATGTATTCTTTGCAAACTTGCTCTTATTCAGGGTTGTTCAGTATTTTGGTTCTAATCATTTTAACTTTCCAATTGAGATCCATAGAATGGGATTACATTATGTTTGGTTGTTTAACATCCCTTTCGAGAATTTTTCACTCATATGGAGACACCACAATTTGCTGGTGGAGAGCTGCTAATTTTGTCCTATACTCGGCACTCAGGGCCATTGAGCAGTGAGGGTTCTTTTTCATGCCAGCACCTACTGAGACACGGGACCTCGGTTTAAACGGTCTCATCCGAATAAAGGCTCTCCATGCCCCACAGAGGGATTCGATATCTCGACGTAAGGATCAACTCCTAAACCCGCGACTCTAGAGCAGACACTCTAACCACTGCGCTACGCGGGTGACTTCATGTAAACCGATGCCAAACTCTGGCTTAGTCTCATTATCTATCTCCTTGCTACATGTTCTATGCAAACTCCATTGACTATAATTGTGTTCTAATAGAGGGTCATCGTGTTGAATGAATCACACATTGATAATTTCATTTCTTTTTTATGATTAAGAAGAACAGATATACATTTAAGTGAGGTTTAGTGTTAAATTGAAACACTGGGTATATTCTTGTAAATGAAAGCATTATGAGTGAAGAAAGTAAAGAAAAAAAAACAATGATTGATCTCTTAAAAATCTGCAATCAATACAAAGCTAAAATACATGCAAGGAAATTAAAAAGGTGGGATCAGGTGCCTAGGAGGAGTAAATATCCCCTGTTTACCCTCACACACACCGCAGGTCCTATGTATTGATCAGACAGACAGTACATTACGCTGTTGGATTCAGTATAAAAAAGGACAAACAACAGGTATCAAACAAGTAGGGCAAAATACGACTTAATGATAGCTTACATGTGTATTTGCAAATTGACTTGATAACATTAAAAGAACTTATGAAAAGCTCATTGTAAAAACTTTTGATTTTTCTATTTTTTCTATATATTTATTATATTCAATTGATAAATTGGGCCATTTTATGTATGTTTTAGACTAAATAATAAATGATAAAATAAAAACTTATATACTATGAAATTGGAGATAAGAATAGTGAATGTTTTTGTTTCTTTCTTTTTTCAATTTGCTCTTTATCTTTCAAAGGGTATTTCTCTTTACCGGATTTCACATGATTTTATTATCATTGAATGACACATAAACGACTTCTATTTCTTCTTTCAGAGGGAGGAACGACTCTGTGTAAATCCGAAAACGACTCGTTTGTCGCTGATAAGTTTGTAGCATCATTCTTTCCTACTCTGTAAGATCTTGGACTTTGAACAACTCCCTCCAGTTGCCCAGTATCCTCCGGCCCTGGGGTTCTGCTTCTTCGTGGACATTGCTATAAAAATCCAAGTTCAATAATTTAATTGTACAAAAACAACTTTTAAAAAAATTAATACCATTTTCAAAGCCGATTACATACTCTAAAATAATTTCATTCACGGCTTATAAATTTCAAAATTAAAATAATTTCTATTTTTTAGGGGGAAGCGAGAAACCAAAACATACATGTATAAAAGTATGTAACTCACCACGGTTTCTAGAGAAACATGATTTTGTCCGAAAAGAACAGCTCCTTTCACTGCAGCCATTCCTGCTTCTGGGGGAATCAAAATAGTTTTGGAGGGAAAAGATTCCTTTACGATATTCTGTAAAATGGGTGATTGTGCGAACTCTCCTACAAGAATTATATGTTCCACATCTGGATACTTTGTTAACAATTCTTTCTCCATATAATTAACAATGTGTTTTCCGGCATCAGAAAAGAGACTTTGGAAAACTTCTGATGAAATCTTGCATTTGTCTAATTTAAATTCAATGTTGTCTTTAAGGACCGTCTTCCGAACAGCTTTTTCAATGCTTTTTCCGGTCTTTCTTTTAAATTTTTCGATTAGACAAGCTGGCATTTTCATTGTCACTTTTTGGGATTCTGACTGAGTGCTATTGATCTTCTTCTTAAGCTCCTGAATGATGTCATAGTAATCCATCGGGTATTTGTAAAGAAAATAATTTAAAAACGACTCACTGACAATCAGAGCGAATAACTCCTCGAAGTCTTTTTGAACCTGACAACTTGCCCAAATCTCCGCGCTGTCTCTATATATTATACTCATTATCTTCTCACTGGGACACTTTAAAACCGAAATGTTGGTATTGTCATCTACAAAATTTGAGCAAGTTAAACATGGACCTCTGGGAAACATAAGAGGTAGGATAAGAAGCCATGGAAGATTAAGCATCCCCTTTGACCGGTCATATCTTCAATGTGCTCCTTGTCATGACTGGGGAATTGAAATTACGTGTCTACAAAAATGACGCTGCAATTTATATAAAAGCATCGTTCTATACTTCAAGACTCAAAGATAGATTGCTTCTTATTTTCGATAAAGTCATAATACAGACTATTGAAGATTGTTATTGTTTTACGTCCAAATAGAGAATTTTTCACTCATATAGAAACTTCACCAAATACATGTACCGTTGATGGGCTTCAAATTTAGACCTTTACTCGGCACCCAAGGCTATTCAGCAGTGAAGGATCTTAATTGTGCCACTGCCTGTCGTGACACGGGGCCTCGGTCTTAAACGTCTCGTCCGAGGGACTGCAACTTTCACATTAAGGTGCTGAGTGCATGGCGAAGGAAGGAAACAATTGCTACTTTTCAAAAATAATTTAGGTCAGTTGAGTCTGAGATTCAAACTCTCGACCTTCCGGTCACGAAAGGAGCGCACTGCTGAGTGGGCAACCGTTTCGGTAGCCTTAAAGAAAACGGTTAGAACCTAATATAATTGCAATTCTTCTTTTATTTGATAAAAAAGATCCAAAGACAAAATTTCTGTACCTAAAAGAATGATTCATATAAAAAATTACTTTTACATTGTTTACTGTAGAATTAAATTGAATTTTACTTTTGAACAATTGAATGGAAAAAAAATCAGCGCCTCGGTATCTCACAGCATATCAATTGACGTTCTGATGCATGAATATTTAAGTATGTAGTTTATAAAATGTTAATTCTGCTGAAATATGAATGAAAAGGCTTTTTACATCAGTTAGTTATTTCCTTTCTTTTTAGGCAAACATACCAACCTTCGCATTCTACAAACACATATGATTTGTTTTGGTTTCCTGTTGGTCTAGGGAGACCTGAAAGTACTGGGTTTTGTATGCAGAAGTAGAGAGCGGCTGCAGCCTCCTCAACTATTGTTATTTTATCAGGGGGAAAGCCAGCCTACAATATATCGTATAAAGTGTGATGTGCATTGTATACATTGGGGAAACAAAACAGCTATATCTGTACCATCTCTCTCTCTCACTCATCAATTATTATATTCTCTGAAGAAAACTAAAGTTATTACTTGTTTTGCAGCTTCCAGCATAAAATCCTTGGAATCGTTACATGAACATGTCGGCACTGTTAAAACATACTTCAAGGATACGCCTATGGAACGTTCTTCTATCATAGCTTTTATGTGACCATCCATATATGATAAAACTGCCGACATAACATCAATTGACTTCATCTCTTTATCGTTTACTGCCTTTATATTTTTTGGAACCTGAAAATGAATGTCACCGATATACCATCCTAATCTAGTAAAATTTAACATCACACTTTTATTGTAGAACATGAGATTTTACTGATCTCATATTAATTAAATTATATTTTTTTCAAAGAAGAAGCACTGAAGAGCATTGGGTTAACTGACCTCATCACTAACACAGAAAAGATCCCAAATAAAGTCCCGAAAAAGCAGATGCTTGTCATTACCGCCTTGTTGCAGATTTTGATATTCAGCATCAAATCCGTACGACTGGAATACCCCGTATTCCGTAAAGAGAGCCACGGTAGGGGTGATCAGCGACATTGAACTAGTAGCGTGTTTCTGGAAAGGGACTGTGAACAGTTTGGGGTCTTCGGTTCGGCCGTCATTGATCATGTAAGCGTTTGTGCTGTAGTTTGTTCCAAATTTAATTGCAATGATAATTTTTATTCCAGACATAATTTTATATTATTGTTGTATGAGTAAAACAACATATTTATTAGCTGGTATTTAAGGATTCATTGCATTGCAATTTCTCTTTTTGTTGATGTAGCAAAATTGCTAAAAATTGTAAGCTTTCTGTTGCAGTTCTGAAATAGAAAAGTTCTGTACATGTTAAATCATGTTTAAGTCATTCAACAATGACTACTTTATTATTATAATGACTCTTATGTTCTGTTGCATATACTTACCTGAGGTGCACTTTCGTTTCTGAATTTGGTTTTAAAGGACATACTGAAATTGAAGTTAAAATTATTTTATTTTACAATACAGATTCACAATGATTCTATTATTAACTTTTTTATTGTTTTATATATACGTAGAAAAAAATCTTTTTAAAGTACAATTATTTGCTTGTACTTTGAATTCTGAACCAGAAACATGGTAAACAATAATGTTTTTTTTTTCGTAACAAAACATGAAACGATAAATGACTTTGACACCATATCCAATGGTACTCTGATTACCTGTTAAAAGATCCTAATGTGCATCATAAAATCCAGTTTACAAAACTGATAGGAAGTCATTTCATGTCTGTATACATGTAGATTTAAAAGACTGGGGTATTTAATACTTTAAAAGTATTGATTATTCTCTCGTTACATTCCGGTGAAATGATCAAACAGGTTCAGACTTAACAAGTTTTACTTTCGATTTCTATAAGATTGTAATTCTTTATGAATTGTCTGGTTGAATTTCACCATAGGTAAATAAAATGTAAACCTTTTCTATCTTTTCTTCCGGCTTGACTCGAGTAATCTATTTAGCGTTTAGTTTATACAGGTTATATTGATTTTGCTGGAATGTTGGATATGCAATTTTAAAAAACATGTATGTCTTTTAATATCTGTATTTGTTATTGACCAAGGAAAATATATCTGACTTTTTACAACAGTCATACATTTTTCATATATAATCAATTGAAGATATTTTATATATAATCAATTCATTGATGATATTATATTTATTTACCTTGGTTTACGTATCGTCGCCAAGAAGAACAACCAATGTTATGTAAACAACCCTTCACGTTAACAGCAGACGACAGGTTTATTTAAAATTCCAAAACCTGATAGTAAGATCGAGTGAGTCGTCTTACATTTTTATATACTCTGAAATATATATATTTAAAGTTATTTAGAAAATATTTTTTTCTTTGTAATTAATTTATTTGATCTGCAAAGCGTTTCTCAATAAGAATAATGTTTTTTTTTCAATTTTTTGTGCAGTTTTGTTCTCCAAAATAAGATTAACTTTAGCATTATATTTGCTCATATCTTCTCAAACAGTTTCTTAATTGTTATCAAAATAATAAAATGTAGTTTTCATGTTTCAAAAAATGATGTCAAATGTCATAGTTATTGACCTTCGCATTGGCACATTGGCATTCGCACTTCACAAATTGTGCATATGAAGACTTTTCCAAGGAGGACCCGTTTTTGAAGCCTGTTCCGTCGGACAATTCTGATTCTACTAACAAAACAGATAAATGTGTCTGAGGAAACACCAAGCATTGCCGTATTTCGTTCTGATAACCTTGACCCCTACTTTGGATTTGATGCCCTCAGACGGATTGAAACACAAAATAAAGATGATTTTATTTTCCCAAAATTGGTAAAAAATCTCTTTTGCTGTGTTAATAAGGTACGTAAGCATTATGTTGCTTGTATATCCCTTTATTTTTATGTAATAGGTAATAGGAATTCGTCGTTGTTTGTTCTTCTTACGTGAGAAAAAAAGAAAAAATGTCTGCATCTAAAATTCATCAAATCGTAAGTTCTAGGGTCGATACCATAACCATGTCAACAAATACATTTTTCATTGAGTCAATTGTTAACTGAATTTTTTAGCTGATTTAAGTCCATTATAGGAGAGTTGTCCCGAAATTCAGTAGACAAGCGTTGTTTCGCAGGAACACGATGTCATGTATAAATGAAACCATCACTATCTAATAAATTCATGGACAAATATGAAGTATCTTCGTAAATTAACCCTATTTAAATGATGGATTTCATTGTCTGGTGTAAGAAGGCGGTGCAGCACCCAGTAGTTGAATTCAAAAATCGGTATATTATAAGATCCTAGGGAAATGTAATTTCTACACTGTATTTTTTGAGTGGAGATGAAAATCCTTAAAAATGTTTTCTTTATTATATTTCCTCAAATTTTGATGTTTAATCTTTCACGAGTAAGAATTTTGTAACGTTTCATATATACACCGGGTAGACTTGCACAAGCGTCTATGTTTTTATTGCCTATTTCATTATAAATATTTTTTACAAATTCATAGTTAAATGTTATCAATCTATGTTTGGCATTATCAAAAAGTATGATTATTGATTGATAGTATACTATTTAACGTCCCTCTCAAGAATATTTCACTGATATGGAGGCGTCACCATTGCCGGTGAAGGGCTGCAAATTTAGGCCTATGCTCGGCACTTGAGGCCTTAGAGCAGGGAAGGATCTTTACAAGGTATATGAAAGAGAGCACGTAAACATACAGACTTGAGCAAGTCTAATATCCGACATTTTGAAAAATGGCGGCGACTTTCGCACAGTCGACGCACTGGACTATGATCAAGTGTTTTGATTCTGAATATCACTCTTACAGAAATGTACAAGTCATAAATAATATGAAGAAAAGAATTTTTTGTCCTTTGTATTTAGAAAGACTGAAACAGTTACTTTATGTATGTGAATAATGGAAAGTAAAGAAAAAAAAGACAGGCATAAGAATTGGGCAAGAGTGCCACTGTGCAACTCCCACAGAGAAGACAGACGGAAAGCCCGTTGAAATGCAGGGTTTTTAAATCATTATTATTTTATAACTGTTCAAGCATATACTTTGTTTACATAATTTAACCTTTTATCATATCATGATAATAAAGATGTTTTACATTTATAAAATAATCGGTTTTTTAAATTAAAGATTTTGATTCTGGTTATTAAAAGATTTTCTCTAAACTTTTAAACAGTTGACAATTTTTTTTTGACGTTGCAGAGTTCTACGGTTGTTAGAGAACGATATCACTTCAAATCTTATTACTCGAATGGTTTTCAGGTAAACGTGATAAAACTTCATTATTTCTCTGCCAAAACGAACTTTATCCATCCAGAAAATGTTATAAACATACATTGAATTCTTTAAAAGATATGAGCCCAGTCTAAGTAATTTTGGGACAGCCATCGTATATACGCTGAATTGACGACGGAGGTAAATTATTGACAAGCAAGTTGATGAAACAAGAATATCAACAGTCTCGTTTAAAGTCATCATTTTGTAAATTCTATGGTCGATCGATGGCCTTGTCAGCAAATAAAATCTATCATTGAGACAAATGATGGCTGACGTTTTTCATACTAATCGATAGTCCATTATACATGTGTATATACACTTATCGAATTGAAGAAGGATTTTTTTTAGTTATTTCCAGATCATGACAAGGAGCACACGATGGATGTGACAGGTTGGCTCGGGATGCCCACTCCCTTATGACACCTGATCCAACCTCTGATGTTTCGGAGATCCATGTTTGCTTTGCTCCTATTTTGTATTCTTTCATATTGAATACTGTTCGTTATCTCCATATCCCTCATTTTTTGTCTCATAATTTATCCAATAATTAATTCCTTATCGTTTTTTATCCGATATTTTCCCGATCATGACAAGGAGCACACGGTGGGTTTGACCGGTCGGAAGGGGATGCTCTTTCCTTCGTGGCACCTAATTCCACTTCTAATGTTTTGGAGTTTCGTGTTTTTTCTCGCTTAGCGTAAGAAACCTACAGTCATCAGCTATTCTTTGCAATATATAGTATTTAGACTGCAAAAGACAAAACATTGATCTGGTTTTTATAATTATTTCATTGAAATAATTTAAATATTTATTTCAACTGCATAGGTTTGATACCTGTTTCTGATCTGATG